CCATTCTGCATTTTGCCCAAAGTGCTGCTTTGCCTGGCAGTAGCTGTTTGTTCATCCACACGCTGTACATGCCTGCAGCATTCTTCCAAGCAGTAACTCCTGATCTTTTTTTTTTGGCAAAGAGCCAATTAGATCCGCCCCCAGTGACTGAATAATTCTTACAAGCAACCAGTATCACCTTCAGTTTCTTATGTTTATAACAAATCAAATTTAAAATCGGTTCAAAATGAAGCGAGTTATAGTTGATTTTGTAGTGAAGTCAAGAATGCGGTATCTACATTTCTATTTCTATGGACTACAGGACTAATGAAAAGTTTGCTGCAGTTGAAAATAAGGTTAATGAGAGCCAAAAGAATGAACTGAAAGACTCTAAATTGCTCTGTACAGTTGCAGGTGGTGATACTCTGGGACTAATCACTGTGTGCCGTCAGTTATTAGTATGACAATACTGGTTGGTGCAGATTTTGGTCAATTTGAACATACTGTACTCCCCTACAGGAGCAGAGTCTGGGAGCTGCTTTTTTCTCCTCCCCTCTCCTCTTGTTTTTCTCCCCCCCTGTTCCCCCCACAAGTAATTTCCCCATGGGATTATTAAAGTATATCTGATTCTGATTCTGATTACTGATTAAGACAGGGTAACTGTGAACCTTGATAGAAGAGAACTTTGTATCAGTAGAATTATGGATGATGGTTCCCACACAGCCATATGCATTGTGGGGCTGAGAAATGGGTCACAATTTCTTGACACTTTTATCAGTTTGTGTGGTTGGAAGCAGATTTGCGTGGAGCAGTTTTTGAAGGTCGGAGCGTCTACGTCCTCTCTCGCACTCGGAGATAAAGCGAACTGAGTTCAGATGCAACGTGAAGGGAATTTTCCTCTCGTCCAGAATGTGCCTGCAATGAAAAAAGGTTCATTTGTTGGCCTGAATCTAACCTTCGCCTGTGTGGAAACGGCAGATTGTTGTACAAGAGCGCAGCTGTGAGAGTTTTCACAACGCTTCTCTAGTCCCTCAGCAGTCCCCAAACCACACACACACACACACACACACAGGAGCGGTGCTACAATTAGATCCCTGTGGTTAGCAAGGTCTGTCATTTAGACCAGAGGATAAGGCGTGTGTGTGTGTGTGTGGTGTGTGTGTGTGTGTGTGTGTGGTGTCTGTGTGTGTGTGTGTGTGTGTGTGTGTGTGTGTGTGTGTGGTGTTCGTAGTGTGTTTTCCAGTGTGTTCGTATGTGGGTGTGTGACACTCTGCTCTCTAATCTTGTGTGTGTGTTGGCTAGCAGTCTCTCCCCAGAGAGGGATGGCGGGGGGGGCGACGACAAAACGGCTACCCAGGAATAGCACACTGTGCCATGGGCGATACTCTGGGGTCGCTGGGTGGAGATCTAGAGGAGAGGAAAAAGGAGGAGGTGAGGACAGAAGGGAGCACAGAATAGAGGAGGAGGCAGAGCAAAGGGAACTAGAGCATACAGAAGGGAGGTGAGACAGGGGAGAATTGAGGAAAGAGGGGAGGAGGTGCGGAAGAGACAGTTGATGAAATTGATTATTGATCAGACCATAGCAACCATGCTCTTTTGGAAATGTAAAAGTTCTTGGTAACCGATATCCAGAGCACAGTATCGCCTCCTGGCTGTGGCTTCACATGACCTGCAACGATTAGTTGTCAACTATTAAATTAATCGGCAACTATTTTGATGATGGATCAATTGTTTTGAGTAATTTTTTCAGAAAGAAAATATAAATTCTATGATTTCAGCTTCTCCGATGTGAATATTTTCTGCTTTCTTTGAGTCCTCTATGACAGTAAACTGTATGTCTTTGGGTTGTGGACAAAAAAAAGACATTTGAGGACCGTCACCTTGGGCTTTGTTCAACATGGACCAAACAACTAATCAATTAATCGATAATGAAAATAATCATTAGTTGCAGCCCTATATGTAACATACGGACTTGAGAGTGGTATCAATTTTCTCATTTAACTGTCGGCAAGAAAGCTAATAACCATAGTTCTCTAACTTTAAATGATTCCTTTAACATTGCATGGAATTTTAGTTGTCACAGCTTTACATTATGGACCGAGTCAAATCAGCACGCAGAATGTTTGCTTTTTGTGCACTGAACTTCCAAAAGGACGTTTTTATTGATCTGTATTGCAGAGCTGATCAGTGAATAGGTTTTTAGATTGATAAATCAATTGAAAGTGTATTACATCATGTGTAGGGTGAAGAAATGGCTGCTACTGGTTGTCAACACAGCTGCTGTGTGTCTTTGTCTCTCTGTGTGTGTGTGCGTGTGTGCACGTGTGCGTGTCTGTGTCTGTCTCCCAGTGAAGGAGCGTTATTGGTGTCATTAATCACAGCAACTCTCCAAAAGTGTGTTGACTTGTTCTCGGTGCAGTTATGTAAATGGTTTATATACTGTATATACACACACACACGGTCTTAATATCTCACAACCTTTCCCCTGAATTTCTGACCCATACTTTTGGTATTCTTTTGTTATAAATCATGTTTATGGTTGTTGTGATTATTATATTTGGACAGTGGAACAGGCCGCTCTGTCTTCTGGCAGATATGGTTGAGTCTCAGTCATTTACTCTAATGTTAACATCTTAGTAAGATCATCTTGTCACAAGGCCTTCTTAATTCTAAAGGAGAAAAAACTTAGAAAACTTAGAAAATATACACAGTAGGCCCATGTCTCAGCATTTTGTTAATTTCTGTGAAGAAAACTAAATGGAATAGTTCTTTTTAAAGTTTAGATTATTATTTAAGATCTAAAACAGGATAAAGGCACGGTGAAGACGTGAACAGAGCCTTCACTCTCTGATGAACAGCCTCGTCCTGCATTAGAAAAGTAAAAACAACCAAAGAGCTAATAGAACAATGACAAGAAAACCCTGTTTGTCAAAAAAAGAAGCCTATTATAAAATTACACAATACAAACTGTGTAAAGAGATCCTAAAAATGTCAGAAAAACTCACAGGAACAAAAACAATATTCACAGGAAATAATCTGCTCAAAATTCATCCAAATAGCTTATTTTACACCAGCTTTCTGCAGTTATTGTGTTCAATGTTCATTGTACAGTTTATCAGTTGTTCTCTACTGTTATTGTCGAATATAATAGAAATATATATAAAATAGGCCAATTACTCAATGGTTGAAAAAGGCTCCCTTAAGGAAAAAGGTTGGGAACCACTGGTCTAATGGGTGTAGTGTTCATTGCCTCGGCTAAACAGTCATAGAAGTTAACCACCTGGGGAATTTAAATGTGGGACATTTTGTGCCGGTCTTTTGATTTTGGTGTTTGCTGTGAATGAGGTAACCTGCCAGTGGGGCTTGAGGAAAGGTCAGAAGGTCGCAATCAGTTGATAATAGTGTTGCAATGGTATGAGATTGTCACGGTATTACACTATTATTATCAGTTACAGTGACCCTTTAAATGAATGAAAACAGAAGAGGTTTTTGGTTCCAGACTAGAGCCCGATTGAATATATTAGTCAGTTGTTGTATCGGTCTGCCAATATTGGCCTATTGCAGACATATCAGTATCGTATCGGTATCTGCGTGTATGTTATTTATTTTCATTTTTTTAAGTATATTTTTGGGGGGCATTTATTGCCTTAATTATAGTGACAGCTGAAGACAGACGGGAAAGGGGGGCAGAGAGAGAGGGGATGACACGTAGCAAAGGGCCGCAGGTCGGATTCGAACCCTGGGCCACTGCAGCAAGGACTCAGCCTTTTTTTTAATGTAGTGCAGAAAAAAGTGCTTGTGGTAATATATTGGTGTGACTGCAAGATTTATCCAGCAGAGCGCACTGTGATTTACAATAGTATGGAAAGCAACACAGAGTAAGAGAGAAGAAGCAGCTCTCAGCAACGTTAACTAGCATTGGTTGACAATGTATATGTTAAATTATTTAACATGTTAAAGAATATATAACTTAAATATTCTTTAATAAAGTTATTTGTTTCAGAAAGCAGCTTTCTGAGTACCTTTGCAGAGTCATATTGGTGCGTATTCACTATATCGGTAGTCAGTTCTCCTCTAAAATTTGTATCATTATAGGTCTCAACAATCCCATCTGTCGCACTCTAGAACAAACACAAGAAACTTGATAAAAAAGAAATCTGTTTTTCTAACACTAATACTGTAGAATGTAAGACTAATAAAGCTAATATAGTATAATTCAATAGATTTTTTTCCTTTATGACACTAATATGATTCTATACCATGGTATAGCATGGTATCTGTGGACAGCTGCAACCCTACTTGATGACCCCAGTTTTGGGAAGTCAGGGTTTTAGTAAGTGCTACTTGGAAGGATGGACTGACTGACTCAACTTTTATTCCTGTCCCTGGCTCTTCTGAAAAGCTTCTAAAAAGCACTTAAAATGTCTGAAAATCCCATTAGGATGCCTTAATGTGTCATGTCACTTTAAGAGAGAGCAATTCACTCAGCATCTTGTGTGATTTACTGAATACAGCTGGACTATGTCTCTTTAACTGTTCAATTCTTGCTGTTGTTTTCAGACTCTGTCAGTGTTTTGTATTTTAATAACTTTCACCAGCTGGGATCTGTCCTAGGCTTTTATTGTCATCTTTGAATTTTTATTACAGCTTTCAGCATTTGTCTTAATCTTAGTGCCAAGAAGCTTTAGAGAGGTTTCAAGAAGCCAACGGACTGCTGGAGTTTCCAGTGTTGTCAGAGCGCTGTGACCCTTGGCTTCCTTACTCTTGTGATGCTGGCAATCCAGGAGTTAAAGGGCCTTCTGCTGTTTACTTCAAAAAGAGAGAGAGAGACAGAAATGATGTAAAATCAGAATGTAATATGAACGGCTGTGGCATAGCGCAGCCTATTGGCCACTAGATGGAGCTACGGGATCACACTCTACATTGAAACTGCAGAAGAATTAACCAGCGTCTCCTTCTCCTTGCATTTTTCCTTCTCCTCTTTTCTTTTCTCCTCTTCCTCCTTCTGTCCTCTCCCTCAGATGGATCAGTTGTCAGACGAAGAGGTGGAGGTCAGGGATGAGGAGGAGGAAGAAGAGGACAGTGATAAGGACGACCAGGACCTGGATAAGATGTTTGGAGCCTGGCTGGGAGAGCTGGACAAACTCACACAGGTAGCTGATTTGTAAGAAAGGTGCTGTAGACTTACTATAAATGTGTCACCGAATTTCACAGAACACCTGAAATGCTTTTTGAAAATATATTGTAAGTTGCCAACTGATTGACCTCTGCCAATGTGAAAGAGGTGTTGCACACATTCATTTTCTCCTTGCTTGTCTATGCAGAGTCTGGATGATGGTCGCCCAGAACAACCTCCTCAGCAGAAAGCTCCCCTCAGACAAGATGCCAACATGGCCAACTTCTCCTACAGATTCTCCATCTACAACATCAACGGTCAGACACATACACACATACCTTTACACATACTAGAGCACCAGCAACTCAGAAAAAAACAATGGGACAAAAATAAAATACAACTGACCAAAACTGTCTTTGTTAGTCTTTCCACAGTCTTTCCAACAATCGCCAGTGCTGGATTGGTCAAAATAAACCCTTCACAGAGAGTCGTAATATCACTCGCCACCAAATTCTATAGACGAAAACTGTGCATGTCATTGTAACGTTTTAACACAGCGGACAGAAACTAAATAAAACTCACCAAAACATTCTTTCCACTGTTCCAACAACCACCAACTCTGGTTGGGTCAAAATGAATTCTTAATTCACTGACATAGATTATAAAAACAGCAGTTTCAGTCCCTCTACTCAGCTGCACACAGAGCAGACCAGCTATGTAAACAAACCACAGAGAGGCTGCGATAGACACACAGGCAGAAGGACGCCATGACTCCACTTTACATAGAGAGTAGTTGTTTGCTGCTGTCTCATGTCTATAACCTATGAAACACACATTTGCTCTCCTCTCCTGCTCTGTTATGGTCTGCCTGTTTCACATCCTGATAATCTCTGTGTCTGCAGAGGCGCTGAATCAGGGGGAGAACGTGGATCTCGATGCTCTCATGGCTGATCTCTGCTCAATCGAACAGGAACTCAGCACCATCAACACCAAACCCAACAGCGCTGGCAGCATGGCTCGCCTGGGCTTGACCGACACCAAGGTACACACAGTATCTACGCAAAATGATCTCCCATAAAATCCCTAATCTGACAATGCATATATAAAAAAATAATCTTGGGTTTTCTTAGTGTGAGTTTTTAGCATATTTTCTTTTCAGAAAACTTTGTTTTAAAACATTTTCTTTGTGGTCAGCAAGTTCTCACCGAGTCTTTCTTCCTGTCTCCAGGTCCGTCAGAAGCCTCCAGCAGGCCGCAGCAGCAGGCAGCAGCCAGCAGGCAGCAGCAGTAGTGGTGGTGGTGGAGGTAGTAGTAACAGTGTTAGCGGTGGTGGGGGCAGCAGCGGGGCTAGCAGTAGCAGCAGCAGCACTAGAGCATCACCGGCAGGCACTATCAGAGCTCCCACCGGGCATCATGGAAGACCGGCACTGGCTTCTAACTTCAGCCTTGACGACATCACTGCCCAGCTGGAGAAGGTGTGTGTATCATTATATGTACTGTGTATCCTGGGGTTTTATATCCATCATTCATTTCAGTAAAAAGTCATATCCCTCAAAAACAAAAACAAAAACTATAGTTGTATAATGTAGAGACAATTGGCCTCAAGGGGGCGCTATTAGCCAGAGGTAAACATTTTAAAAGCCCATGGAAGTCTGAAGAAATGCATTTATAAAGGACTGGGACACAGTGGGCTCTCTTGATACTGCAGACCAATGGAAATAGGTCAGGCAGAACTGGAGGCTGAGCCTCGTGCTGGAGCTCAGCAAAGAAGGAAGCTTGTGTCAGTGTTTTTGTGGTTGAACAATAGGTTTCCTCCCAACTGTGGTCAGTATCTGTGTTTTTTCCTGTTGCGGAGGATTGTCTGAGGTGAAAAACAATGCTTTCATGAAGAGGTGGTGTATTTAACATTACAGTGTTTGCAACATTTGCATAGTTAAACACATTCTTACGCTTTCAGAAGAGCAGGTTGTGAAGACCACCCACCAGAAAATTAGGGACACTGTTTTGCTTGCTGTTTGCTCTATTTGAAAAGTGTCCTGAGATAACTTTTGTTATGATTTGGAGCTATACAAATAAAATTCAATTCAATTCAATTGCCGGACTGATACTGACCTTATTAAGCTGTTAGGGTAACCTCCAGGTGTGACTGATCCACAAATGAATAAATTAGTTAAAGTTAGAAGTTAAATTAATTTAGTGCTGCAGGAATGAGTCCTAAAACCTGGAACGGTGTAAGCATATTTGCACTTCCGGTTCCCTCGTCTTGAAGTCAGAGGTTTTGGTTAGATGCCTGAAATAAGGTCTGTGGCTAACACTCATGGAGAACATTAGTATCGTATTGGTACTCCCCATCAGCAGAGCCTGAAGTTAGGTATCAGAATAGGAAGTAAAACAGGTTGGATTGATTCATGGAAACATCTTTCACAGTTTTTTTTTATGTCCTTGCCTTTAGACCACTATGGGCTTGATCAGAATATGCTATGTAAGATGACACAACCACAATATTTTGATGAGATTTAAAAGACTGATTCATCCAGAGATTTGCCTGCATTATGTGTGAGGGACATATTTACTCTACAGATTGATGGTGTGAAATCTGCTTCACGCCGTCGCGCCAATGCACCCGGTGAAATCATCTGCGCCCACTCGTGTTTGTTTTGTATGTTTGAGCCCAGCTTTACCATCTGTCCTCTGTCTCTGCTTTACCCATCAGGCGTCTCTCAGTATGGATGAAGCTGCTCGTCAGACCTCCTCCCACTCTCTTAGCTCCGCTTCCTCCTATACATCAGCCACAATGCGACGGCCTGGGTCCTCTCAGCGCCAGCATCGACGCACTGGATCAGTTGGCACAGTCAGCGACCATGAGGTAAACTACGCTTCAAAGTGACCTCAGTCATTTTATGTTTCCAGTTTATGAATAAAAATAAAGTATAATAATAACAATAAATGTGAGGTTTATTTATTTAAGTTTGACCGAGCGAGCTTGAAAAATTGTACCGCATACTAAAACGCTGATGAACTTACAATCTGGCCCTGTTTTCTGAGCTCTGATTTCTCTTCTCTTTCCCTTCACTTCAGGTGCGTTCGATTGTTCACTCCTCACGCTCCTCCGTCACCTCAGCATCCGGGGTTTCCGTTAACTCTGCTTCTTCCATGGACTCGCTGGACAGTGTTCTTCGCTCCAATGAGTCAGACAGTCAGCAGTCTTCAGTTACGCCCTCAGCCGGAGCCAGTCAAGGTCATCACAACACAGAGGTAGATGCCCACTTTTTATCATTTTAATGATCTGTATGTTTGGCTGGTCTGCACCTTCCTTCTTTCAGACAATGTGGGGAAAAGGAATTAATGATAAATATGTTAGGATTCATCTTAAATATGTTTAAGATTAGGATCCAACTAATTGGTCATTCAAATATATAGAGGTCTGAGTGAGGCATTGTAAGTATAAACCAATTCCCAAGATTAGCACCATATTGGAAGTCAACTGAAGAAAATGTCAGATCAGACAAAAATCCTCTTAATATCTACTGGATGTATAAAGGTGTGTGCGTACTTGTATTAGTCACATTATGGGGACACAGTACATTGTAGGAATTCGCCTCATATTTGGGGACAAAAGGCATTAGATTTTAGGGTCGAGGTGTGTTTAGAGTTTAGGTAAGGGTTGGGGTTTGGCTTATAATGGTTGTAGTTAAGGTAAGTCTCTAGGGAATGAAGGTACACACAGTTAGCAGTTTATTAGGAACTCCTAGAACTGCTGCAGTCAGCAGTCTGGTTATAAATCCTGCTATATGAAGTTATAATGTTACATGTTTGATCATTTTGGAGACTACAGTTTGTGGCTGTTGAACTGTATTGCCCTATATTGAGAGGTGTGTTTTTTTGTTCACCTCATACATATCAGTGATGGTAGGCCAAATAACAGAAACACCTCTCTGATTTTAACCATAATAAAGGGAGGATTTGTTTGCATCAGACTCCACTGGCGTTAGCTGGGCTCATAAATTGACAACTGATTGTAGCATCTGTGGAGTTCTCTCTCCTGATTGGATAAAGTGGTAACGGGATACCAGGAAGTGTATTCTCTGTTTAATGCAGGAAGCAGGGACTGGGAGACCATGTGACTGACTGATATCTCCATATCAGTGAAGGCTGTCACAATGTTGAGCCATAAAAAGTAGTTTATAGCAGCTTTAACCAGAACAAACTGTTAGCAATAGCTAACTAGCCAGCAGGCTCATTTAGCAAGCACACTGATGGTGTGATGACCGTTGATGATTGTTACCTAAGCAGATGCTATGGTTAGCCAGCCAAGGTTGCCACTAAACACCAAAAAACAGACAGAAGAAGCCCATCACAACAGTGTAGCTCAGTGCTAGCTTCATGTTTTGGGCGTTCAGCAGCAGGACTGATGGTGCTTTGACTGACTGACTGGGATTATGCTACCATCGTTTCAAGCTGATTATGAAGAGATTATGCACTTCAGCTGATAATTGCAATTAAAATACAGGAAAAATGATTAGCACACACAGTCTGGGTGACTTGAAGGGTAAGGGTGTAAAGGGCCATGTGCCTTACATTACATTTACTTTACCGCCTGTTGTTTGTTGAATAGTTTTTAGATTGTTTCCCATCTTTCAGTTGTTTGCAGAAACAATTAACTATTCACTGTCCAAGTGACTGAAGTAGTAATGCAGTGCAGACATTTTCAAACCAATCAATATACAAATGTGTATATATAAAATATATATCATTTAATATAGTAAAGTGTCTTTAAGTCAAGTTTTCTCCACTTTACCAGTCAGTTGTGTTGGTTCTCAGAGCTGCAAATCATGAACAGGTCTTCTCCAACAGTCCAGCCTTCCTTGCTGTGGACTTTTTCATTGTGTGCGTGGGAAGTTTTAGGCTTTGCTGCTGCAGTAGTTTGTGTTGGTTGGCATTTTCTCCCACTGCTGGCTGTGCGGTGCTGACAGTTTCTGCTGCTTCAGGCTGTGTCCTCGCTTCTTTTAAGATCAAAAGCGCTCCGTTCTTCTGTCCCAGAATGCACTGAAAACAAAAGCCTGGTCATAATCTTCCCTGAATCACCTACGGAGTCAGATGAGAACAATTCACAGCTGAGAACAGAATAAAATGCTAAAAAGGGCTTGTAACAATTTAAGGGGTTTGTTTTCTACAATGCATTTTGCATTTCAAAAGGCTTTCTTTAAGCATTCATACATTTGTCCTTCATTTCTGACTCTGGTGGGTGCTGAGGGAGTTTAACCCAAAAAAAAACCAAAAAAGGAAACCCAATGAGCTGCACTGCAAACACAAACCCTGCTGAGTGAGTAGGAAACTGGGTTACTGCTCTAATACATCCACTGCATACACAGATACTACCGCCAATCTAAGAGAGAGAGCGAAGGCATGTATAAAATTAGAATAATGAGATGAGAGGCCAGAGTGAGTCAGCAAACGACTTTAGATAATATAGGAGCAAGGGAAGGCGATGATGCAAACTAAAGGGCAACATAGAGAGAAGCAAAGAGTGACACAGATGAAAAGAAAGAGGGACAAAGAGTACAAATGCAGAGAAAGAAAACGGAAAGAGAGGAATAAGAGGAGATGTGCCCAGAGCGCTGCTCCCATGAGTCCAGCTCATTAGAAACTGGGACTGCTGCAGAGTCTTTCTCTTCTTTACACGCTCACTCTGTGTGTCTATTAAGGGCAATAAAAATAACACAAATTTAGGACTCACTGAATCCCCATTGAACTGTTTGGAGGAATAAAGGTTAAATTGAGTATTGATTATCGATGTTAACTTTCTAATGAGAGCAGAACTAGCGTGAAGTGGGACCAGGGAGTTCATTGTTTTTTGGCTATAATGGTAAATGGACCTGTACTTGTATAGCGCCTTTCTAGTCTTCCGACCACTCAAAGTGCATTCACCCTTTCACACACATTCACTCAGTGATGGCAAAGTCCATTGAACAGAAACTAACATTCATACACATTTACACACCAATGCACGGCATCGGGAGCAATTTGGGGTTCAGTATCTTGCTCAAGGATACTTTGACATGTGGCACCAGGAGCCGGGGATCGAACCCACAACCTTCCGATTAAGGAACGACCCGCTCTCCCTCTGAGCCACAGCCACCCAGCCATAGACTGGTAGTCTAGTACACAGTGGTTGTATTCAAAACCACCTTCTACATACTGGTGACAAATGCAGTACATACATACTGCTTTTCATAATAGAATGAATGGCAGGCATTATGGTGCTGACAATAATCCTAACCCTAACCCACTGCGGTGTTTGCACATATCCAAAAACCTGCTGATATCCAAGTCTTTCATCATGTTTAATAGTAGGTTTGTTTCACCTTACAATGAAATGCATATTCCGAATGCATTATATACATGTCCAAAGAATGCTAAAACCTGAATATCGGCACATCCCACATTAATCGGAAATTGGAATGTCCAAACGTAAATGCTGTTTACATATCAAAGTGTGGAATATTGTCATATTCGGAATAATAGTGGAAACCTAGTCAATGTGATGCATGGACAGTATGGTGAATGATGAATAAAAAAAGAAGAGCAGTAAAAAGCTCAGCCATTTTGTATTTTACATTGCTGTAAAAAGACTTTAGTGCGTGACCAAGATGCAGAGAACTTAAAGTTAAGCGTGTAACCCCAACATCCCATGTTGAGTCTGCTGAGGTAGCTGTGTTTCAGATCATACCTCCGCATTTCCTGTAATCTCTACCATTGAAAAATACATTCACTCCACATACAGAGCCACTTAATTAGTCGCCATAGTGGTTTTATTAAGAAAACCAACATTATTGCAGAACCAACTGGCTTACATTGGATACAAAAAGCCCTTTCCCTGCTTTTTCTTCTTGAAGGTATGTGAAACAAAAAATCTATGTGGTATTATGTGGTGATAACATATCTATGATGGGCAAAATATGACTTACTTGAGCATGATACTTGAGTATCATATTGTGAGTTAACTCTGTAACCTCTGCCCCTACTACTGCATATACTCATTGATGATGGAGTCAACATGTTCACTAATCTATCTTTTTCAGAAGGATCGACATACAGGTTAATCAGATACAGTAGATACTGAATTAGACTGTTTTATTTAATATTACAGCCTGTCAGTCAGGCTTACACACAATGCGTGCAAACCATAAACTCTAAGTGCACATAGGAAGATACCGACACACACTCTAACAAAGTCCTCCTATGTAGCTGCATATAGCAGCTCTCCCAGCGGCTCAGTGTCCTACAGGGGATCAACACACACACACGTGCACACACACTTGGATGCAGTTGGTCAGATCTTGGCCAAAGGGAAAAGCTGACTGTAATCGTGTGTGTGTGTGTGTTTGTATGTGTGTTTGACCTAAATATTATTTTTAATCTGTGGTTATCAAGAGAGATCTAATGCTTTCTAAAAAATGGTTTCTAGTGATTGATGCACACACACACTCATGAGATTATGAAAGATGAGAACAAGATAGTATGTTGGTGTTTCACTGGATGGGTACCGGATTTCCGCAATATCCCTGGTTGGAACAACATGACAGACAATTAAATGAATTGAATATTTCTTCTTCTTTTGAGGAAGTGGATGTTTGTATTCCAAAACTGGCAAATGTATGGGAGTTATCAGGTCAGGAAAGCAAACTGGAATTGGACCAAGGTTTTACTGCAGGCACCACCCTGACAACTTCTTGTTTCTCACTGTTTGCTTCACACCAATAAAATAGGCTAGAACCCAGTGTGGCTCTGGACCGTAGCCCAGTGTGCTCAGCAGGAACCGGCTCAGGGTGAACTGGTGGTGACTCACAGCGCTGCTGCACGTGCATGTGTGTGAGGTTATGTAGAGCTCACTGAGACACACAGATTTGGCCCATTCACATTGTCAGTAAATACGAGTAATATAGTAAATAATTTAGCACATAAATAATTAATAAAACTCTGCTTGGCATCCTGCTGGTCTGCACTGGAATCCTGTGTCCTGTTTGGCTGTGTAGCATTCTCCTACCAGTAAACCCTGAAGCCGTAGTGGCTGTCTGCTTGTTTCTCTTTGAATTATTTAACCTTTATTTCCAAAGCAAATGTAACGGGGCTCTGGTCCACTTTAGCTTGTTGTTTCAAGTATAAGCAGACTTTACTTGTCTCCCCACTGGTTTTGCATTTTATTTTCTTAAATGGTTTAATCAACACAGAGGCAGAGTTTCTCAGAACCGTTTGTAGTGCCACTAACCTCACCTAAATATAATGACCTGGTCAAATTTAGTGCTTTAAAGATTTTAAAAGTTATATTTGATTACATGGCAGTTGAGGTAAAGTCCTTAAAAAATGAATTAAATGCTGACGTTTGATAGTACAAAATCTATCATCAAACGTAAAGGTCAGTTATGGTGTCAGTCCTTCAAGGGGACTTTTTAATATTCAACATTCAACCATCATACAGGCAGAGAAGAAAGAAAATTGTAAAAACTGTAATTTAAATTCATACAAGAACAGATATACTGTTAGTATACCAGAATGCAGTGCAGCAGCTCTAAGGGACCAGATTGCCTTCACACAAGTTGGGTTTTAAGCAAGTGGGAAGCCCAACAAACAAGTGGTAAAACAGTGCACAATGCAGTTTTACTACATGTCAGTTCCAAGGAAAACCCCAAACTTATCTGTTTTTCTAAAGTTTCTAAAGCAGTAAATGAAATACTTCTTGTAATTGGAGTTCTGTATTTTGGTGGTATGTTTGGGAAGGTATTTGTTTGATTGACAGGGAGTCTCAGAGTTTATCACTCTCTGGTTTGGTGCTTTCCCCCTGCCTGTCCCACCTGTGCTCCTCCCAATGTAATGTAAACCCCCCCAAAAAGTCTCAGAGACCTCTACCCCTTTTCCACCAAGGCAGTTTGATGGCTGTTTCGGAGCTAGTGCCTAATCTCGAACCAGTTCTTGGCGTTTCGACAGCCAAAGAAACGGCTCTTGGCCAGGAACATTGGTTCCATTACGGCACCAACACTTTGCTGGTCTAGAACGTTGAGCTAGCCGTCTGGCTAACTAGTTGTTGCTCAGCTGACATTACCCAAGCAAGCATAACTACTAATTTTTCATATCAATGTTACATCTGGAATTCCGTTGCGTTGGTGGAAAAGGGTGTATGGGGGACTATAAATCCATGTAGAAATGTGATCTTGATTCATGAAGGTGTCTACGAGGTTGCTGTCAGGCAGATCAGGTGACACCAAGCAAACCTTTTTGAACTAAATGCTGAGGTGTAATTCAGGGTACCCTTTCTCATCTAGGCACCACATTCTGTGGAAAAAAAAAAATCTGAGTAGACAGGGCAGGTTGAAGAAGAGTGAGTTCACAAAAATTAAAGGCCCTCATGAGTCTGGCTGATAATAAGCTCTAAGTTACTTTATATGACTGTTGGTTAATGGGTGTCTTAACATTTCCTTTCCATCCTAGCATACATTACTGTAATCTGTTTATTATGTGTTCAGTTCTCCTCCACAGGTTTGAGACTCTGACCACTTAATCAGTGACGTTGATGTTTTCCTGCTGCTGAGCTCTGCTTCACCACACAGCTTTCTGCTACACTGCCACCTCCAGCCAATCAAACACCAGATTAATTCACCCGGACTCTCTCTCTCTCTCTCTGTCTCTCTCTTTAAAAGCACTCCTATCTGGACAGGGAAACCTCTCTGATTCTGAGAAACATAGCGGGAAAACCTTCCCACCTGCTGACCAAGGTGATGCCCCATTCACTACTGCATGCCCCTCCTCTCTCCTCTTGCATGGCAACACCCTGCCCCCTTCCTATATCTGTGCATGACTAAAATGCATGTGGTTTCACTTGGGATATTGAATTACTAGCACAGTGGATGCTAAATCCTTTTCTTTCCACTTCTCCTCTTCCGTCATCTCCTTCCCAGTAGTGTTGAAGAGGGAGCAGTTTGTGTGTTTGTGTGTGTGTGTGTGTTAGTGTAATGCACAGCGCCATGATGTGTCCTGTATAATCCCAGAGCTTTACAGAGGCTGCATTACGACATAATGTCCCCATCCGGTGGCATAAAACTCTCACCTTAATGGTCATCTGGTGCCTGATTTAAAAAAAACAATCTGTGTTCATTTGCATTTTCAGAAATGCACTGTTAAGGTTTTTAGTTATAAAAATAAAATAGAACAGCAACTTGATTTCCATTCATGAGCCAAGGTGATCGTGATAATAAAAACTACAAATAAAACTCAAAAAAGCCTTGGTAGAGCACAAAATGATTCATTACATGTAGTATATACAAACTTTGCACTTTTTACTTGTTTCGTTCATAGTGGGGCACAGAAGTAAACAGATTTAAAATATTTATAATATTTATGAAGATGAGTCATAACTAACTACTTTTACCTTACCAGCCTTGTTTAAGCAGTGATTCCCAACCAGGGGTACATGTGCCCCAGGGGGTACTTCTGCAGTTCTAGGGGGTACATGAAAAGACTGCGGGTTAACTCAACTAATTAGAAAAAATGTAAATGAAAATATCAACATATTGAGCTGAAACCAGGTCCCCAGCTGTACATTTGAGAGTGCATCAAAACTACTGATTATTACAGGAGTCTAAATGGGTAAAAGTACGCCCTAAAAGTAAGATAAATTGTTTAACAACAAGAAGATAAAAAGCTTTCCCCCATTTTTTAAAAAAAAAAAAAACCTAACAAATCTTTTTTTTTTTTTTTTTAAAAGTCCCCTTTTAAATTTTTGAAAACATTTTTATTTTTTTTTTTGTTTTTGAGGGGGGTTTTTTTTTTTTTTTTGGAGGGGGGGGGGGGGGCCCCTTAAAAAAGGTTGCAAACCACAGAAATGCCCCGTTTTTTGTCATTGGAGTACTGAAACATACATTTATCTTTAAAGGTTTAAAATGTAATGTAAAAAAAAACATTTGGACAAAATCTGAACACTAACCCGGTCATCAGATCAGCCCTGTAGAATAGCTGCGGAAACCACCATCTATTTAATACCATGACGCTGTGTTTGAGAGTTAATTCTGTAAAGCTTTGTGAATACTGCCATTACTCTGATCACCTGTGCATTTGTGGGGAGAAAAGATTGTGCGTGTGCCACTACATCATACCTTTTCTGCATCTTACACAGCACCTCTTTGGTTGGTTGTTTGCTGGTGAAGTTTGTTACAGTGACCACAGAGTGCAGAGGTCATTCTGCTTTTTTTTTTTTTTTTTCTATGAAGCATGAAGATTTACTTTGTTTAAGAATAAGAAAAGGCATGAATAAAAGCAAACTGTATCTGACTCTGTGTGCACGGTGTGTGATATATGAGAGTGTCATTGCTCATATCTGCCAGTGGCTGACAGGAATGAAGAGTCTTACACTGCTGCGATCACACAGGAGTTTAAACGCAGACATCTTTACCAACAGGTCTGCCAGCATGCCTGCAGTCACTGAGCTCCACCATTTTACATTTAGTTGGCATAGCATAGTCTTGCCCCTAATTGACCATTCCTGAGTCCCGGCCCTTTTTGTTCTGTGCTCCAACTGCAGTTGAACAAGCCTCGGTCAGAACCTCGATCAGTGTTCTCCCTTCCTGTACTTAGATATGTGCTAGGCCTGTGTGTCATCTGCTCACACTCACCTTAAGTTAGCTCGCTAATGGTAGCAAAACACTAGCTTACCAGCTAACTAAAAGTTGATATAAATTACCTAGTTAGTTATCCAACATTTTACATTTTCTTACATTAGCATTTAGATGTAACTAGCTAGCTAACAATTGGTGTAGATAATTAGTGATTAGTGTAGTGCTAGCTAGCTATCTAGTTTGCTTGTTAGCGTTTTTTTTTTCCAACATTAGTTAGCTAACTTAAAATGTAAGTATAGGCTATATTTTGTTTTTAACTTTGTTCAAAATGTGGTTGAGTTTTCAACATAGACTAGCCTAGCACATAGCGTACAGGAAGGGAGACAGTGGGCCGAGGTTCAGACCGAGGCCTGCTCCAAAAAGGGGCGGGGCTTAGTAAGGTTCAGTTGTATGGTGGAGATACAGTGTCAGTGACGGAAGGCACCTGACCTCTTTTCAGCCTGTTTTCACAAACGTGTCAACATTGCAAACCACTAAAGAGTGTCACCCTAGACTGCTAACACACATCCTGTGTGATTGTGCTGTAAGACTCATTCAACAACACTGTGTGCTTGTGATGAAATGTGTTGGATGATGATAATTGTAATGATGATGTTGGAATTAGTTACTCATGTTTTATGAGACAGGTAAGTGACAGTCAGCGCTTCTGTGTCTGCTTTTATCCGCTGAAATCAGTCCAGTGGTGATCGTATGGTCAACAAAATCAAATCAAACCAAAGATCAATACTGGGGAATGTTTGCTGCATATGTTTTCTAACACAATACTTACTCATTTAACGGCAAGCTTTTGTGTTTGGAAGTTGCCATATTCAGTGTTGAGAAGATATTGTCTTTCTCCGTCTGCAGTGTGCCTATGTGTATGTGAAGTACTCTGGTTCATTCTGGCTTGTTCTTGTTAATGTCTGCTATGTCTGCTATGTCTGCTCCTGTGCTGGGAAACAATGACTCCTTGTCCATGATGGTTTTTATTGCACTCTTTTCTTGCTGGGCCTAAATAGATGAATACCTGTGTTTTATTATCAGGAACAGTGTGTGTAGTTTGATAACCTGAGAGGAAGTTGCTAAACACCCTTGTTTTGTTCTGTTGACAGTTTGGAGCTCAGCCAGTCGCAGTAATGGAGCTTAGTAGATGAGCCTGGCGCTAGCTAAAACCGATCAATGCAGATAATGGGACTAGCTACTGCTCTAATTGTTGTTGTTGGTGGTGTTGTTCAACCCAGATCGGGATGCTGCTGGTGGAGATCAGCCTTTCCTGGGCTCTGGTGGGAGGAAATTACTTTAAAATATATCACATTTGAACATCTGAGAAAAACATGAAGTCACAATTTTGATGAGGTTTAGTCAAAATTTCAATTTAGCATCTTTGACGCAATACTACATAATGTACATGAATGCCCTTGGATAGATGGCTGTTGATAATATGTGACAGTGATGTTAGTCTTTGCTGTTCTTAAGCTAAAGCTGTAGGCTTCTTAATGGCTGAGGGCAAAGTTTTATTTATGTGTGGGTGTGTGTGTGTGTGTGTGTGTGTGTGTGTGTGTGTGTGTGTGTGTGTGTGTGTGTGTGTGTGTGGGTGTGTGTGTGTGTGTGTGTGTGTGTGGGGCGGGGGCATTTGATAGAAAGTAAGGAGGCTTTATTCTGATTGGATCGGCAATGTCATGAGTTGATTGGATGATAAAGCAGATGAGGCAGTTTGATTGGATGTTAGAAGAATGTGCCAGATCTGCAGGGGATAATCTTCTTTGGTGCAGAGAGGGGGTGATTCCCTGTAGCATCATATATATACACACACACACACACACACACACACACACACACACACACACACACAAACGTGCAGACACAACACACACTCACAGCAGCTGGCAGGCAATGGGCTGTCGCATTTGGAGTTCTTGGCTGTCTTTGCAATGGCAGCACACAGACATATAAATCTGCTCCAAGTCTTCCTCATTTTATCAACCCGTCTCAGTTTGGAGAAAAAAATAATCTCTTCCTAAATCTCAGGGGTTCAAATAGAGTTTTGGATCAAGCAGACCCCAGCAGGCTACCGCAGTTTGACGTACTCTAGTGGACATCCCTGAATTATCAATTTGTGCTCTGGAATACAACTGATGTACCATCGTAACAGCACAATACAGGCTCCAGACATCAGTCTAGGCCCAGTGAGTCCAACTGAAGTGAATATAGTCAGATTAATGCTTTAATTTCAAGATCTGTTTATCTCAGAGCAGCTGCCACTGGCTTCAAATCCAGCTTCCACTGCTGCGGAGCAAGCCAAGATAACCCTTCTCATCGTCATTGCTCCGTTCCTGCACACTCCACTGATTCATGGCATGAAATGCTCTGAGCTGCCTCTGAAAAACCTGATTTTGTTTTAATTTGTGGTCCCAGATTAGAGTGGGCAGGGCCACTGTGGACCCTGAGTCTGCAGGCAGATTATGAGCTGTGGGGCCAGTCTAATTCCTGGAGCAGTGATTAGGCTGAGGGTGTAATTTTTACACTGGTGCCCTTGGCCTTCCATGGCACATCTCTGTGTGTATATGTGTGTGTGTGTGTGTGTGTGTGTGTGTGTGTGTGTGTGTGTGTGTGTGTGTGTGTTGTATATGCAGTAGTGTGTGTGTAGCTCTGCATGTAGCATACTCTTTCTGTGTCAGTGTTACACTGCCTCAGCAATAAATGCACTCCACCCACACACTCCCTCATTCACACATAGACACACTGCTGGCCCACTTCTGCTGCCTGCCTCTATATAAGTCTCATCTCTCTCTCTCTCTCTCTCTCTCTCTCTCTGTTTTGAGCCTATGGCGGCTCAGGAGGGACACATCTTCTTATAACTTCAAAGGCAGCAGGATCTTTCCTGGGCAGAAGCTAATTTTAGTGGCTCTGTAATGTAGGTCAGCTGAATATCTATGGGCCTGAGAGAAAACATTTACGCTGCAAGCTGGGAACGGCGGTGACTGCTGCGGTGGGAGGAGAAAGAAAAATCCACTGTCATCTGTGGTGGGCGGTACAACAAAAGAACTACTGGAAAAATCCTTTTTATCTAATAGAAACTGAGCCTTTTATGTCCAAATGAAAACGCAGTACGATACCATTAGAGAGCATTACAGACCAAAAGAGGGCAGTGAAGGCAGATTTGGGCTTAATGGATAAATTAATGGATTATCATATATAAATGGGTTTTAATTGGAATCCGACCTGCGGCCCTTTGCTGCGTGTCATCCCCTCTCTTTCCTGTCTATCTACAGCTGTCACTATCCAATAAAGCCAATAAAAGGCCAAGAAAATAATAAATGATAAAAAAAACAATTATTCCTTATAATATCACTAAGAAAGACTTCAATTACATCACTATTAATGGGTAAATGAAAGGTATTTTAAGGGGAAAAATCACAGGGATTCAGTTTCATAGTGATATAGGGTCTGAATAAATTAAGAATGTGCAGCCTTATAAAAGCATTATAATGTCTTATGAATGAGCTTATAATGCATTGTAAACATGACCTTCATAGAAAGTAGTAGTAGTAGTAGTAGTAGTCAGTAGTCAGTAGTAGTCAGTAGGCACTTTACATTCTATTGCTTCAGAATCACAGCTGAGTTGAAGATGAGGAAATCAAACTGCAACCCCCGAGCAGTGCCTTGCACAGACATGCTTTGTAAGCGTGATGAAGACTGAATGTGGGGATGAGGGGGACAATAATGATTGTGATGATGAAGATGATGATAACTGACAGTCCTTAGCCAGCTGCTTCAGGCACATAATATTCTGTTGATTACAGAAGCTGAAGCCCATTTTAATGCTAACTGACACAATATAGAATATAGTGTCAGTTAGCATTAAAATGCTAATTGAGGCAACAGAGAATAATGTTATAAGACTGGTGTTTTAACATTCCCTGGGTACCTGTTGGTTGGAACATGCCAGTAACATTTAACTAAATAACAGTCATTAAATGACTTTTATATGACCACAGTTATTTCTTTAGTTCAGATGTTAAAAGGCACCAACAGATGATGTATTATATAATGTATTGTGTCAAATTTAATCTTCTCATCTTCTTTTTGTCAGATTCAAATCTCCACATATTATTTTTAGCTGGAATAAAGCCCAAATAGGTGTTATGTAAGTCTAATGTCTGTGCATCACTTGTACTTTAACAGCTAATGCTAATTGACAGTGCTACATTTGTGCAATATCAGAGCATTTTGAAAGTTCATGACTAAATATTATCAGACTTGCTCTGTAACCTGGCTTTACCCTTGCTTTATTTTTACTGTCTTTTCAATTTCCCCCATTATAAATGCTAACAGCTACCAACAAATTAATAACATACATGTATTTTGTCATATTACATGGTCGCTGACATAGCTGTGTATGATAAACAATTTATTTAAAAGGTCATATATATAATAATATATTTGGCGGCCTACCAGACTTCATTGACAAAACCAGTGATTTTGCTTTGTGGTAATCTATAAACACACATCAAACTGGACAGAAAGAAAATAAAAGTTACCAAAACCATCTTTGTTACCAACAATTGCCATGGCTAGTTTGGACTAAATAAATCCTTAATTCAACAAGTTAGATGCGAAAATATCCCCAAAAGGGCCTATTTTGGCGGCAATATAAATTAATAGTGGGGACAAATGTGCTGGTTAAAGTATGTCAACTAAAAGTGCACGAAAGGTTGTTGCCACTGACAGGCTCAGATTGTTGTTCTGGGTGTCTGACAGCATTATGGAAAGGATCCCTGCAGAGATAGACCTTTTGTTTAACCAGAAACAGCCGTAATATCTCTGTCACTCACCACCACACTCCAGAGACAAAAAGTGTCATTTTACTGTGCAAATCACAGTAACTTTGTAACTTTATTCAAAGCGGAAAGAAACTAAATAAAACTCACCAAAACAGTCTTTGTTAGTCTTTCCACTGTTCCAACAATCACCAACTCTGCTTTGGTCAATCCTGATGAGAAAACCAGCAGTTACTCAGCTGCAGCTTTTCTTTAAGCAGAAACAGCCATAATATAGCTATCACTCACCACCAGGCTCCATAGATTTACATGGCAGCATTATAACCAAATTGGCTATTTTAAATCTGTACATTGATATATTGGTATGCTATATTGTTCATTCTTTTTTAACACACATCCCACTTAACTCCTCTGAATTAGTTATGATCAACTTGTGAAGTAACACACAGTCCATGTTTCAACATTTATAAATTGATTTTGTGCCTGTTGGGTGATGTAAATATGTGCTTTTTATATATGATCTGCAGGCAAATTAAAGTACCATCACGGATTTTATCCACATTTAGGTTTGCAGTCTAGTACATTTGATGCCTCACTGCTTTTAATGCAATTCCTCCATTAGAAAAAAAACTGATTTGTACCTGTGGTTTGAAAATCTATACATCACAGTCATTTTAGCACAAGTTAATCCCCTGTCATCCTTAGCTACAGACGCTAACCCCAACCAACAGAACATAGGCTAGTCATTATGAAGCTGTTTATGAGCTTATAGGCTGCTGCTGCTGCTTTGAGAATTTGTGTGTGTGTGTGTGTGTGTTTGTTTGTGCGTGTGCACACTTCAGGGGGTTTTGGGGGATGCCGATAAGAAGATTGGCTGCTAATCTCCTCTTCCTCATCCCCATCATTTTCATTTCATTCTACCCTTTCGCTCGTTCACAATATGGCTCCTTGGGGGGGTGTGTATGTGTATGTGTGTGAGCTGACCTGCTAAAGTGGAGCACCTTCGCGAGGGCACACACATTCAGAGACTCATGTGAAGTGACTAGAAAGAACCCCTGAAACTGACCGCGTACCAAGAGAGCGAGACAAGGACAAAACCAAAACTGACAAGAGGAGTGCGAAGACGAAGAAGAGTGCGTTTGCATGGCGCGGTGGGGGGGGGGGCAGGAGCTTGAGATAAAGAGATCAGTGCCTGCTTGTAAGTTGGCACAGCAACAACGCCCCTCCCCCACCACCCTGGCCGTCTCTACCTCCCTCTCTCTCTCTCTATGTCTCATTCCCTCCATCGCGCTCGGCCAGGGAGGATGTGACAGGACAAGGTAGCATCTTTCACTTTGATCTAACAGCTAGTGGGGAGTCTCTGAACCAAACAGTCATCACTGACCAGGCGATCAGTTAGTCGGCTGCTGTCAGTAGAACTCTTATTCAGTTAGTCACCAGTCTGTAAATCAGTGATAACTAGACTAGTTGACCTGCAGCTCAGTCGGAGTGTAAACTGTCAGATAGTCAGTTGCTCAGGATTTTTACATCATTTTTGCTCTATTTGTCTGCTTCTATTTCTACTCTTATTCTTGCTTCCAGATCTTATATTTGTGCCTGCAATGTGCTCCGCTGGAATTAAGGCTGTCTGACTGCTTCTGCTCCTCTGTCTGTCCACCATCCATCCAAGCCAGACTGAAGCCACAAGCGCAGAGACTTTTTTCCTCACGTCCCCATCCACTTGGAGTGTCTGTTTGTGTGTGTGTGTGTGTGGAAATTCGCATAATCCTCCTTCAGAGAGAGACAATAACTATCTACCAACATGTAGCATCCGAGCGTTAATCCAATCTCATTGCCCTGCAGTTGCAATAATACGGAGATGATGATTACGAAGAGGAGGAGGAGGAGGAGAAGCAGGTTTTGCGCTGCCGACCAGACGCGTCTGATGACCCCTCACAGTTTGGGTTCCTCGGGCAGTGCGCCGATGTCTTGTTTGGGCTAACTTTGGGCTGCTGTTTTTGTGGGAATAATCTCTGCACATCTTCATAGCTGCTTATTTTAGCTCTTCCTTCGCTCTGTCAGGAAACTATCAGCGTGATGACAATGCATCTGGAAGGAGCCTAGAGAAACAGACGAATGGCACACACTCTGGGAATACACTGATAGTTTGTCCAAACTCTGCCAATAAAAACACTGGGATATTCTGGACTTCTAAATACCAGATTTTTGCCGTTTTGGTTGATGGAAAGCAGACACAGAGGTGTTGGTTGTTTGAGAGAAATCCGCTCACAATAAACATGAATTCCTGTTGGAGGAACCAGGTAGGTGATAGGACCAGGTTTTAATGAGCATGTGTGTCCTGAATATGGACTTAGAGACAGGTGTTGCAGGAATGTGCCTGTCAATGCTACTGGTTTGTACTGACTGACTGGTGTGTCATTTCTGTCGCCGTCGTCAATGTGTGTGTGTGTGCGTGTGCACAGGAGGAGCAGGCTGCCAAGATGAAGGCGGACAATATCCGAGTCGCCCTTGAGAAGATCAAGGAAGCCCAGGTTAAAAAGGTGAGTCAAGTTCACACCGACACCAGAAAGAGGCTGCAGAAATATGTGGTGTGTGTGTGTGTGTGTGTGTGTGTGTGTGTGTGTGTGTGTGTGTGTGTGTGACCGACTGACTGACTGTGCGTGTGCCTGTTTGTGTGCTTGTCCGCATCTGGCACGTGTCCAGCAGACTCAGTTTTCTGGGTCAGGTCAGTGTTACTCTACATTGGAAGCTCTGGTCAATAACAGCTGGGGTCATCACACACATACACACACACAGAGCACTCAACATAATGACCATCGCAAGTTAAGTCCCAATCCCATACAGAGAGAGAGACTGAGAGAGACTGAGAGAGAGAGACTGGATTAACAACCTGGATTTATTACACACAGAGACGGGACTCCAGCTACCTGTCTGTCTGTTTGTGTCGGTCAGTCTAATCATCTGTATGTTGATCCTGCACAAAGCTAAAAAAAGTGACAGTAGAGCTTCTCTCTCTCACACACACACTCTCACACCCACACAGCAATATAAGCGATAGTGGATGATAATAAAAAAAAAGATAAGCAAATGAAAAGGCAAGTTTTACTTCCATGGAACCTCAGTAATACTATGAACATGACACATACTTTCATTTGTTTGGCTGGTGTTAAAATATTAGCCATAGGTCAGAAAACTGTTTCCGGTTTTATTCACACTGGAACAATTTTATTTTTAATGAATTAGACACTTTCCAAAAAATTCAGATAAACATTGCAACATGCATCACAACTTTTTAGTGAAGCTGCCATGAAATCAGTCATTTTAGGCCGCAACAATCCCCCAAAAAGCCTGCCAAATCCTGGAGGGACTGCCAATCATATATATATATATATATATATATATATATATATACATATACAGTATATATACTCAAAACAGAACTATTATCGCATACCCTTTAAGAAATTATTATATTTAACATGAAGTTTGATTATATGATATGAGAGAGGGACTATATGAGAAATTAGAGAATACTGAATGAAATCTGGAGAATTCATAATCGGTCAGTCTCTCCAGGATTTGGCAGGCTTTTTTGGAGATTGTTGTGGCCTAAAATGGCAAACTTTACGACAGCTTTTCTAAAAAGTTGCTACGCATGTTGGGATGTTTTGTGAGTTTGGTGATGTATGGTTCAAGTCAAGTTTGCAAAAAAAGTTGCTCTGATTGGACAAAATTGCAAGGTCATGCAGAATTCCTGAGGATTGGTTGAATTTATGTTAACTGTTGCAATCACAACATCAGTCCTCCTCATATATATTTATATATACATTACATATATTCATAATTAGGCCTTTTTAAACTGTACGGAGCAGCATGATACTACATGCTACTATATTAAAACTTGGTCATATACCGTATTATATAACTGTGGCAGGAGAAACCTCTTGTGTGTGTAACACGTCATTATTATTACCTTACCATAGTAAAAAAAAACCTAGTTCACCACAACTGCTGCCATAGCAACTCAAGAAAAGTGTTCATCCTCTGAAGAGCAATCTGCAGTTTGTTCCTTTCTGAATAAGTAAAAGTAATGCTGTTTAAATATTTCATGCTCTAAGCTCTGTAAGCTGAGTATGGTAGCACAGCGCTGCCTTTTAGCCACAAAGATAGCTCCATTTCATTTGAAAGAAAAGCAAATGCAATTGCCTTGTCAACAAAGGTGGCCTTATCTGACAATAACAATGTAAATGATCATCTTCTGTCTTTCTTTCTCTTCATAGTTGGTGATTCGCGTTCACTTGTCAGACGAGAGCTCAAAGACCATGATGGTGGACGAGAGACAGACAGTCAGACAGGTACGACACTTGCAGTAGGGCTGCAGGAAGAGTGAAGCATCTGGAGCAGTCTGAAGAGCTGTAGCTGTTACTGTAGAAGCAGTAGCAGCTGTGTCTGTAGTACTCATTCAAATAATATTCTTAATAATATTAGTAATATTTGTGAGATTAGTGGTATTCACCATTTGTGTTAACATGTGTCATAGTTGTAGCTGTAGTATCAGTACAACTACCAGCAGCAAAAGTAGAAATAGTAGAAACTGTTAGTAGTAGCAGCAGTTACACTTTTATTGTTAATAGGTAACAGGTGTAGGTGTAGCATTACTGTTAGTAGCAGTAGTAGTGGTGTTGGTGGGGGTGTCATTAACTGTGGTAGTAGTAGTTGAATCAGTAGTAGTTGTGTTGTTAGCAGTACTTCTGAACTTTTGATACTTTCATAAGCAGTAGTACAATAGTGTAGTATTACTGCTGCTAGCTCACAGTGTCTCCTGTATGTCAGGTTTTGGACAGTTTGCTGGAGAAATCTCACTGTGGTTACAGTCCAGACTGGTCACTGGTGGAAACCATCAACGAACTGCAGATGGGTGAGCACCCACACGCACGCACATACGCACGCACGCACGCACGCACACACACACACACACACACACACACACACACACACACACACACACACTGAAATAGACAGAAAATACAGTTATGGCTGGCTGCTAGATCTCAGTAAGCAGTTGCACCAGATCATCTTAAATTCAACCACAAAGTTATTATCAAGTCCAGATTTACGCATTATACGCTACACTATGATATAATATAATGTAATATAATATTCACCCCACTAACTAGTAATGCATAGCACTCCATATCAGTGACCCAGAATGAGTAGCTGTTAATGTAAAACAGACTGCACATTTCAGCTGATTGATTGAATGAATGAATAATTAATGTTAGATGTTGTAATGCTGGCTTTAGAAAGGGATGGAATGTAAGTGTGTGAGATACCTTGGGCTCCAGTTTTGAAGAGCTGTTCTGCCCAAAATGCTGCAGTGACATTTCTTTATGTTGTGACATTGCTAGTGTCATCTCTACTGGCTTTACTAGCTCAGACAGCCTGGGTTGGTTAACAAGTAGACTGACGCTAATTCATTTCCAGGTGTGCTGAGGGAAGGCTATCATCGAGCACATTTGTACCTGTAGTCACTAACATTGTGCTCAGCAGTGACTATCACACAGCACAGATATTCAGCCACAAAGCTGCTAGCATACACACACACACACACACACACACACACACACACACACACACACACACACACACCCCCTTGGGCAGCGAGATGTGTGTTTGCAAGCACACACTGTACTACGAGCTTCGACTCTACTTAACACTCTTTGACAAACACAAACACACACACACACACACACACACACACACACACACACACACACACACACAGTCTTTATGTAGGTCCGGTGCAATGATGCGTGTGATCTAACCTACTTCTTCAGGGCTTCTGCTGAACAGCCAGTCAGCATCGTTATGAAAGAGAGAGAGGAGGTAAAGCGTAGCTCATTCGGCCACGCTCAGTAAACCTAAACCTTTCCTCGTTTACACAAATCTGCTCCACGTGTGTTTCTAAAACCTGGGCTGAAGGCCAGGATTTGGCCTTAGGAAGATTTAAATTGGCCCCTGTGTTAATTAGGGAATGAGTTGTTTCTGTAGCTGCGGAGAGAGGGCAAACCCTTTGACAGCACACACACACACACACACACACACACACACACACACACACACACACATACACACACACCAGCGGCACCACCAGCACCCTGCTGAGTGGCCTGTGGCAAGAGACTGACTTCCTGTCAGATCATAACCTCTGACCTCTCACTGCGTACCCTACAGGAAACGACAGTAGCAGGCACATAATTATGTATAATAACATAATGAGAAGACCAGTTATTTTCATTATTATTCGTAGTAGCAGTTTTAGTAGTAGTTAGGTGTTTGCTGTTACAATAGCAATAGTGTTAGACTGGCTATGTACTAAGTATTAGCTTTTTATGACTTGACAGGGTTTCCACCTGGAAAACCTGGAAATGTGGAGACTAGTTTTCCAGTCATGGAAACATCTGGAAATTGATTAAAATGACCAAATATCCTGGATATAATCTGTGTTGTCTTGGAGAATTTGAATTGTATTTTAGCCTGTGCTGTGGCCTAATTAATGTTACAGTTAGAGAAATGCTGTAGTCTACAGACCTTTTTCACATTAAATAGTAGGGTAAACACAGGCGTTACAAGTGATACTAATTAAGGTTCAGTTCCATTCAGGTCAAGCAGAGTCAGAGGGCTCACTGGAAAGGCTCTCTTACCCTACTATTTTGTGTCAAAATGGCTGATGTGAAAAAGGTCTATCTGGAAAACAGAAAAATCTGCGCTGCGAATGAATGAATGAATGAATGAATGAAAATGATTTAGACCAAGTTGGGGACTCAAACACAGACAAGCTGATGCAGACAGGCAGATGGGTTACCTATCTACTTATTACTTCAGGTTAATAGTCCTGCCAGTGACGTTATTAATACTGATAATAGAACAGAATAACAGGATTATTTCACGGATTTACACAGATTATCCTGCTTCACCTGATTTAACTGAAAACTAACTGAAATATCGAATTCACTCTGGGTAGAGCGGATTTTCGAGGATCATGAGAACCTGGTTGAGAACCTGTTGAACTGGACCAGAGATAGCCAGAACCGCCTGATGTTCACCGAACGCATCGAGAAGTATGCCCTGTTCAAAAATCCACAGGTGAGTTGCATACACGCACACAGACATATGGAAGGGTTTACCAGAAGGCAACTTGTATAATTAAAACTACGCAGATGTTTTTATATTGCTAACCAGTTGCCTCTCTGCTACAGAACTATTTGTTGGGGCGGAAGGAGACATGTGAGATGGCCGAAAGAAACAAAGAGGCACTGTTGGAGGTTAGTTTGTTTTCTCCTCTTGCACACAGCTGCTTCCTCAAATGCCTCTTCACACAGTCTTGAGAATGGCCGCCAGTGTTAATATTCCAGAAATGGAGGTCTAAGGCGCGCACACACACACACACACACACGCACACACACAATGTCTGACATTATACACTTTCACACTAAGGATACGAATTATAGAGATACTGGAATTTAATTCTTTTAAAGCTGCAGTAGGTAACTTTTATAAAAATTACTCTTTTTCATATTCACTGAAACTTTCACTATATCCTGACAGTATTACATGAGACGGATAATCTGTGAAAAAATCAGCTTCCTCTGGCTCCTCCTAGTGCTCCTAATGGTAACTGCAAGAATCCACCGGGCCTGAACGAAAACAACCAATCAGAGCCGAGAAAGGCAATTGATTGTTCATTCATAGGCAAGATACGTATGATTATACAGGGGTGACGATTCCATATAGTGCCATATATTGGGACACTGTAAGCAAGGCTATATATTGTGGATTTTAAAATAAATCTTTTTAGGTAAACTTTCATCGTATAAGTAATAATAACAGGAAGAATAATTAAGTCGGTTGAAAATGTCTGTTCAACCAACTAAATGACCTGTATATCGTATCCCTACTCTGAATGGGCGGAGCTTAAATCCAGAGTGTTGATCAAAAGTTGCTTATTGGAAAACTATTTACAGAATTGAGCTTCAGAGTAATGTTTTTGATCATAAGAGTGAGAGAACTATTTACAGAAGTTTTTATATATAAAAGTATAAAAAGTACATATATTGACACATTTTATTCACTTGATATTCATAAAAAGTACATTATCTGAACTGGATACTCATTTCAGCCGATTACTCGCTCAACCTTAATAAAGAACACACCAGAATAAAAATCTGAGTGAAACAAAAGTTTAAGTTATGCAGTCATAACAGACAGATCTGGGCAAAAGAATTAACGTTTGCCTTTATTATTAAATAAAAATAAAAATAATTAAGTTATATTATACAGTGATACATATACACACAGTATATATGTTTAGATCCTGCTTTAAAGGTTCACATTCCGTTGTAGTATGTTTGCCAGTTTTTAACTAGTAATAACAAATGGATAAAACATAAAACATAATGTTGTGATACTCAACTGTAATGATGTTTCTTTTACACGTCTGATTGGTATGAATGTCTGATAAGCAGTCAGCTATCTGAGTTTACCTGAATTAGTAGGAGATCCAGAAAACAAACCTCTGTTAGAGTGGTGAATAATTCTTCACTCTGCTCTTGCACCAGTCTGTCGGTCAACAGAAGGCGCTCACACATTCTGTAGTTCAACTGGTAAAAATGTGGTGTGAGCTGAAATTGAACAAGCACCAATTAGTATCTGTTCTGTGTGTGTGTTTGTGTGTTTGTTTGTGTGTGTGTGTGTGTGTGTGTCAGGAGTGTTTTGGCGGCAGCTCAGTGTCTGTCCCCGAGATGGAGGGAGTGCTGTGGCTGAAAGAGGATGGGAAGAAGTCGTGGAAGAAACGCTACTTCCTGCTGAGGGCTTCTGGCATCTACTACGTCCCCAAGGGAAAGGCCAAGGTGAGTGTAATGGAAATAAACTGAGAGGGCGATATGGAACAGGATTGTGTTTAACAGTAATGATGAATATTGTAAAACTGAAAAAAGATTGAATGTGTGTGTTTTTGTAGGCGTCCAGAGACCTGGTGTGTTTTCTCCAGTTGGATCACGTTAACGTGTACCACGGCCAGGACTACAAGAGCAAGTTCAAGGCTCCTACAGACTACTGCATGGTGCTGAAGGTACACTCTCTCACTCACACACACACACACACACATACATATGTACACACAGGAGTGATGCGGTCTGGGATAAATTACTGCTCATGTGTCACCATAGTCTTACAATGCCACCTAGTGGTGTGACAGAGTAATGAGACCTCTATTTCAAAGGGAACACAGATACTATAACAATAGCTAGAACAATAATATTTTTGATTCATGTATTAATACTGCACTGGTTGGATTTTCATTTTAGACAGTAAATACCTTAGAAATACTCATTTTAGAGTAGAGAACTTAAAAGCAGTATAACAGTGACAGGAGTTGTTGTAATAGTAGTGATTCTAAAAGTAACATTTGTAATAACATTACTTACTTTCACATTACGTGTGTGTGTGTGTGTGTGTGTGTGTGTGTGTGTGTGTGTGTGTGTGTGTGTGTGTGTGTAGCACCCTCAGATCCAGAAGAAGTCTCAGTACATCAAGTACCTCTGCTGTGATGATGTCAGGACCCTCCAACAGTGGATCAACAGTATTCGCATCGCTAAGGTAGTGACTCGTGTATCATATGCTAATGTCTGATCCTGTGCAACCGAAAATAATATGAAAAAAATATGTTGAAGAAAAAAAGCCTTGTGAGTACCTGCATAGTCAAAGCAGTGCACCATCCACATAGAGAACGTCTATTTCCATTCACTGTATTGGCCACCATATTGGTCGGGCTTTACTATTAAATCCTTGTAGAGTCAGATTGCTTCAATGCAGTTAATGTGTTGTTATTTCCATGTAGTTTCATATATGCTAATACCTGCTGTCTGTCTGTCTGTTTGTCGGTCAGTACGGGAAGCAGCTGTACATCAATTTCCAGGAGGCAATGAGAAGGACAGAGGCGGCCTATGATTGGTCCTCCCTCTCTTCCTCCTCCATCAAGTCAGGATCGAGCTCCTCCAGCCTTCCAGGTCGGTCCGTCTGCCAATCATGGTTCCCACGGCTCCTTGACATCCATGGAAGTTTGGGAATTTAAGAGGACATGATCAAGGGCTTGAACATTTTTGAAAATAGACAAATAGATACATTTTATGGAAAATTGAAGTTCTTTTGACATTTTATTATTTATGATTATTTTATTTATACTCTTGTCTGTGAGCTTCTGTGAAGCCTCCTAGTTGTCATTTAAAAATTCTCAGTGTTGTGAGAGTAGTTAACCTTGATCCGTGTCTCAAACTATACCATGTTGGGTTCTTGAATTTGAGGGAATTGGAAAGTCCTTGAATTCATATTTGAGAAGGTGTGGGAACCTTGAATAATTCTACGACAAGTTCAGAAGGTCAAATGTTTAATTTGTAGAGATTTCATACATAATGAAGCACAGTCATTTTCAGTATAAATAATATCCAATAATAGTTATCAACTAGTTGAAAACAGAATAAGCAAAAAACAAAACAAAACTTACTTCTGCTTGTGTGTCCACACCCCAGAGTCCCAGTCCAACCACTCCAGCCAATCGGACAGCGGAGTATCAGAGATGACATCATCAGGCCACACCCGCTCCCAGAGCGTCGTCAGCTCCATCTTCTCCGACGCCTGGAGGAGAGGGACGCAAGGAGAGGTGTGAACACACACACACACTCTGTCCTAATCCTTTCCTGTCATTGTCCTGTTGACTTTGTGGTCTACATTTCCCATATTTCCCCTCTGCTTCCCTGCCAGCGGTCAAAGGTGAAGGGACGTATGCCAGTTCCTCTTTGTGCAGGAGGAGGAGGGAGTGGAGGTTAGACAGGAAGTGATGTAACAGGCATGTTAACAGTTTAGCTGCAGACATTGAAAAACTAAGCTGTGTGTGTGTGTGTGTGTGTGTGTGTGTGTGTGTGTGTGTGTGTGTGTGTGCGTGTGTGCGTGTGTGCGTGTGCGTGTGTGCGTGTACTTTTGAAGTGACCTGAACCACTTTGCATCCGTCACTACTTTAATGGGTAGATGTAGTTTAATTGCACTTATGGCTGTAGTGCTAGTTATTGCCCTTTGTAAGTTTTGATACATCTCCTCACACAAATGACGTTTTGTTTTCAAATCTCTAAAGGATTTTGGAAGATATTAATCTAAAAAGCATCAATCAGACAAAAGACAGACGTTTTCAACCTTCTGTGGGAAATTTACATTCCTAGTATTTTCACCAGTTACCAATCTAAAGAGGCTAAAACACAGAAAGTAGTTTAACAAGCTTATCTTTAACTTGTGTTGGCTATTTGAAACTACTGATGACGTACATTAAACCAGGATAATTAAGACTTGCAGTTATTGATCATCTGAAGCTCAGCAAATAACTTTGTTATACATAATGGATATACAGTATGTTGGGTTTGTAAGTGTGTGTAAGTTTGAGGTGAACTTGACTTTGGCTATAAATACATGAGCTGTACTGTTTTTGAATGGTTGCAGCTGAACTGTTGATTTGTTCTAACCCCGTGGTGTGATGGAATGTCCTAACCAATAAATAATAGAGCAAAAATGCACACTGTAGTTGGACACAGAGTTTATGACCAGATTGACACAGGTTGGAACACTTCTAACCTGGTAAATGACTTTGTGACACTTTGTCTACAGCGTTTTGGACAGTGTTCAAGAACAAGAACAGTTGATAAACTATTTGATACCTCTAAAAGGCAGTCTGATAGGGGCTGTTCAGAATATGTTTGACACTATTTAAAAGCAGTTGAGCTTTACACATTGGTTTTACGCATTAAACAGTCGAAAATGATCGGATAGATGGACTGACCTTAGTCGATCCGTAGTACCTCTTTCACATTATCTGCATCTGCTAATAAGAAATTGACAAAGCTCTAATAAATGTAAAGTCTGTAGAGGTGATTATTGTAGGACAGCAGAGTTTTGTCAGTGAGTGAGAAAGTTTCTTGACCTTATTCAACGTTGTGATGTGTTTAGCTGTGTGTTCTCTGCACCGGTTGGCTGTTTGATTTCTTGCATCCTGTCTTGGATTGTTTGGTTGCAGAAACAAGACGATTAGAGTTGTTTGTTACTGGTTGTAATTTTGTCTTTCTTCCTGTCATCACCCCTTTGTGCCTCTTCATCTTCTTCTACTGCTTCTCTCCCTACCTCTGATTCCCTCCTTCTCTTGTTTCCTTCTCCTCCTCCTCTCCCTTTCTCTCTCCAGATGATGAAGATCGACCCTATCAGTAGGCCCATCCCTCTCCAGATACCTTCCCTCTCTCCCCAGCCTCTCCCCCTCTCCCAGCCTCAGACCCCACCCTCCCGGTCCAGCTATACCGACGGCCTCATCCCATCTGAGGACTCCTCCCCGTCACCGCCCTCGCCTCCTCCACCTCCGCCTCCGCCCCCCATCGCAAGTGTGGCCCACCAGCCAGCACCTACCTCCTCATACATTAAGTACAGCACGCTGGCTCGACTGCAGAGCCAGAACCAGAACCAGTCCAGGACACAGCCGGCAGGAGCCACTCCACCTTCTCTTCCCATCCAGTTTGCCAAACCAAACTACAACACCCTCCCAGCTGCTTACAGCACCTCTCCTCCTCTACCACCCTCACCTCCCCCTCCTCCTCCACCCGCAGTGCCGGCTCCTGGCTCAGCTATGGCCGCACTGATGTTTGGTCCATCAAGCCCTTCCGCTCTCCCGCCACCACCCCCACTGGAGGAGGACATGCAGGAGCCCTACAACCTCCCACCTCCTCCACCAGAGAGCCTGGAGACCAATGGGTTGCCTCTGCCCCCACCACCAGAGCACATCCTCAACTCCTGCCCTCAACTCTCCAACAGTGGCCTCCAGCAGTTCCTGGCACAGAAGTTTCCCAACATGGTCTACGACTTCAGCCCACCTGTGGGTGAGGAGAATTCTCAGCCTCCTCCACTTCCATCCGAGCTTTCTCCTCCTACCTCCCTGCAAGTTCTTCGGCCTCTGTCCCCCAATGCGCCCCCTCCTGCACCTCCCAAAACCTTCACTGGTGGGTTTCCCCCTCAAACTGCTCCCAAACCCTCGGGTCCGTCTTCCCTCCCAATTGCCCTCTCACCTGTGTCGCCAACGCAGCCGCACAGTGGCCACGGGCCAGTTAAAAAGCAGCAGAGTTTTTCAACAGGACATTCCCCAAATCAGCCACCTCCCACTCTGCCAAAGCAGCACAGCCTCTCCTCCAAAAACCTTGCCCTCTCTCCCTCGTCCTCCTCTTCTTCAGTCTCCATTGCGGCAGCTACCTCCTCTCTGGTCAAACAGATTGTCAATCAATTCCCGGGAAACTCTGCCCCTTCCTCTCTGCCTGCCTCCAACTCCATGGAAGGATCGAAGTTCACTGCTCCTCAGTCTCCTCCAGCGGTCAAAGCCAAACCAAAATGGCAGCCAGGAGGCGTTGTGGCTCCACAGTCCCCAGAGTTCCCCCCACCTCCTCCTGACAGCTCACTGGGAGATTTCCCTCCACCTCCCTCTTCATCCTCCTCCAAGACAGGCTCCCCCATAAAGAAGTCGCCTTCCACCTCATCCACGGGATCCACCAAGCGGGGGCCTCCACCGACCCCGCACAGAGCTTCCTCCATCCGGTCCAGCTCATCGAGTGAGACCCAGGATGAGAGGCCAAAGAAGGTGGAGAGCCTGGTCAATAAATTTGGCCAAGCTCCTCAAACGGGTACTTCATCCAGCTCCTCGTCAGTGACTGGGTCTCCTTCAAAAGAGTCCTCCGCACTTCCTGCTCCGCTCCCTAAACCGGGCAAGCTGAACTTGGCAAACCTGCCGTTGGCGCTGCAGGGGTTGCAGACGGGCCAGCACCATCAGCCCACTGAGTTCCCATCCCCTCTTCCGCCACCTCCCCCCTCCCAGCCTGCTCACCTGGACTCATCACCTGACTACTTCCCGCCTCCCCCCAGTGACTTTGAGCTTTTCCCTCCTCCTCCCCACCCATCAGAGTTCCACCACCCCCCAAAGGTCGCCGTGGTGAACCCTCAGCCTCAGATGCAGCCACCTCAACAGTCGGCAACCTCCTCCTTGACATCGTCGTCATGGAAACAAGGCTCACTGAAAAAGGGGGCAATCCCTCCGCCAGCACTGAACCGGCGGACCAGCAACACCACCCAGTATGACAATACAATTTCAATGCCCCTCTCGCCGCCCCCTATGTCTCAGACCCCACCTCCCTCTCTGTCCTCTTATTCTTCCTCCTCCTCTCCTGTTCCCCCCACCTCCCCGAAATCAGCGGGGCCAAGCTCCCTGGCACTAAAGCCTCTCTTCCTGGAAGACCTCAACCGCACCCTTAAGAGGAAGTCGGTGTCCCGCCATGGCTCACTCACCTCTTCCCACCTCATCCCCTCCTCTAAGATGGAGCCTGTGGGCACCATGGACGACATGGCACTCCTCCCGCCTCCTCCCCCCGAGCTCCTGCAGCAGCAACAGCAGCAGGGAGTCCGAGGACACTCCCAGACTTTGTCTCGCCACCACACACACTCCCACTCCACCAAACATGCCAACATCTCAGGCTATGCAACGCTGCGGCGAGGCCCGCCTCCCGCTCCTCCAAAACGGGACCAAAGCACCAAACTGACCAGTGATTGGTAGGGAGCAAGGACACTGGGTGGAGCCTAAAAAACTGAACTGACTATTTAGGTCTCATTGTTCCTGCAGAGAAGAAGTAATCAGTGTCTGTCTTGACTTGTCCGTCTCTCCTCATCCTAAACCATCCACCCTTGGATTCCGAGCAAGTAGCAAGCCGTCTTTCCTACTCTTAATCTCAGATTATGATTGTTCCTATTATCCTCATTATTATTATCATCCTCATTATTACTACCATTACCAATACATGTTTAATCCAATGACATGAGTAAAAATATATATATGTATATATATATATCTGTATACAAGCAAGCCAGAAAAATCACCTATCGAGCTTTTTTCACAATGTCTGTGCAGCTTTGCATTGAAATATACAAAAGACAAGACTTGAACGACAACAGCAACAGAGACTATTTGCTGCAAAATAACTGGTACTGCATGGAGCCGCGGCAATGGAAGTAGCGCTACCGATGAAGGGAAGGAGGTATTCATGGAAGGAACGAGAGACGCAAAAGTTGGACGTGTATAGAAATGTATGTTGTGAACTTCGGGGGTGGGAGCATTGCCATTTATTTCAAACCTTTTTGTGTGTGTGTTTTTATATAAGATTATTTAATACTGGAAAGATATTGTTATTATAATTATTTTAAGTTTTTAAGATGTGTCAAAAGAGAGAGTTTGGCTGGACATGGGTCTGTATTGTCAAAATATGTCAAAGTGTTGATCTGAGCTGGTTTTACGAAGACTATATTTGGATCATTTCATCAAATCATATTTCTTTAAATTTAGAACTTTGTGGCTGATTGGCTGTTGACTCCCAAGGCATACGACTTAATACTTAATTGTACTAGAAGGAGGTGGTAACTGGTTCTGATACAGTCTCAGTTGACCTATATAAACAAACAAGACCATAAGCGACTGTCTATTCCTATAGTGTTATTCGTAACACCTTCCACCAGGTCGGATTCCTTTTGAAATCAATGAAAGCAGGCGGTAGGCACACTACCGCTTTCATCCACAGGGGCCGCCAGAATCAACACAAAAAGAAAGTTCCTTGTAGGGGCTTTAAATGCACACCGATTTAACTAAATATTTCCTAGTCAGCTAGAGCTAGGCTGTGCTCAGATTACAGGTGATTCGACATCAAACAGCCTCAATTACACAATATTACTACAATTATTGCACCAGAAGGAACTATACACCAGGATCTCCTCTCATGTTTGCTTACCTCTGTAAAGTTCAATGTCTTGAAGGACCAGCCCTTCCTCCACCTCAGCAGTCCAATAACCTGTGCACATTTAAAGTGTTATTATCACAATGCTTTATCAGGACTGTCGACCAGAACCTTCTTTAAACTAAGCTCAGCCTACAGTTAGGTTGCAACAACAAACCAATTTGGAAGCATATTGTTTAAACACTCTGTTCTTTTCATTAATCAGTCAGTCAGGTAATTCTATCCTAGCAGAGGAAACAGCTAGTCAACTGTAATGAACTCTGAAAGAAGGTAACCATCACTTGATCAATCAGTCGCTTGTTTGTCATCTTTGCTAGTTATGAAAGGTGTGTGTCCACTTGCATCTTAAGTGATCAGAGAAGCCCGAAGGGGAACAAGTGCCTGAAAAACAAAAAGCTCATACTGCTCACATGTAACATCATTCCCCGCTGTGACACCGACCATCTAACCTCGGACATTCTGAAGCCAGGAGTTGAGGTTTACAATTCACACACTGCCAGCTTTGTCACATATCGCAGCCAGAATCCACATTTGGGCAAAAAGAAGGAAGCCTGGGGGGGAGCTGATGTGGGACAACAAGCAGCAACTATCACGGGAGAGAGCGTGAGCGTAGGCGGCGTTGGGGCATAAATTATTATTTAATTGCTCCATTTGACAAACATCATGAACCTTACTCAACTCAAGTTAAAATCTAATTTAGTATTCTTATTCTTCACACAAAGTAACATTCATTTATCCAGAGCTCATGTGAATGAAAATGTGTTTGCATGTCTATAAGCTGAGGCAGAGATCTCAACCCTGTAATTATATTTTAACAACACAGACATAATTCATAGTGAGTTGAAAATAAAATAATTATAGCTTTTTCACAACAACAAGGAACCGACAGCAGGTTACACTATACACAGTATGTGTGTAAGCTAGATACAGAAGGCGCTGACCAGAGCACTGCAAGAAATAAGAGGAAAGGTGTGTGCACATGACGTAGTGAGAGCTTCATCAGCCTGCGCTGGATATCAATGTGTGGGTGCTGAATGTCAGATCTGCTACTGAACTCAGATCAGTATGTGACACTGACAGCACTACAGCTACATGAGGTAGCTGGTGAGGTCACTTATTTTTTTTCAGTAATTTGGGGGAATCTAGCTAGCCTCTTAATAGTGCCGCCTATGAGTTAGAGGATAAGACAGCATTCAGGCAAGAACCTTAATTCTCATTAATGAAATAGCCTGAAAATAATCATGACAGGTCAGTAATTACAGGAGTCTCTTGTCGAGTCCTTTAAGACTGCAACCGTCCTGAGCTCCACATCCCGTTATATTCTTTGTTTTTCACTCTGAGTCATTTCTGTGTTTTGCCTGTTGTCGCTGTGGTAAACAATAAGATTGTTATTTTAATCTCCAGAATCATCCGCTGAGATTTTTGCTAAATTTCAACCAGATTTTAAACTGATATTTAGTGTTGACTTTAGTTTCCTTTCATTTGACATGTTTTATAATTATTGAAGTAAATCAGGAAGCAAATATGGCATTCAGTGGTTGCAGCATCTCAAATATGAATATTTATTGGTATTAGTCGTCTATGATGAAAACAACATGATCATTTTAAATACGTCAGTGTGAGCTCTGAGAAGTTGTGATGCAGATTTGTCACTACATTCTGAGCCTGCTGACATTAAAACTTAAGTGCTTGGAGACTCCCACACATAAAAAGAAGAGCGCTCTTATAAAAGAAAAAACAAGCTGGTGTGGGGAGGTCGTTGCAAGCACTCTAAAAGCAGTGGCACTTAGAAAGATGCCTAACGGATACACCCTGAGTCACTTTGGGAATTAGCTATCTAGTTAGAGTACATCATTTCAGACAGGTATGATTCTGGTTTTAAGCAACATGTTTAGACAAATGTTGTCTGGTAGTCAGTTAGGTAGTCACAGTAGTATCTAGCCAGCTGGATAAACCCAGTCGGTTCAGTAGTTAGCCAATCTGCTGCTCCATCCAAGCATCCTCCCGCACTCATACAGTCACAGAAACACAGTCTGTCATTTGTCAGTGTCCAGATCAGCTGATAAAGGCTTCCTAAACACATTTTCTGGTCATAGTTTTTATATTTCATGTGCAGCTGAACCTAGGTCTGTTTCTACCTTCCTGTTTTTATCATCCTTGCAATCACTAGATTAAATTATGTGCATGACATGTCAACACCGGTGCAGCAAGATGCCAAAAAATTTGATATTACTGCCCCAGTTTTGATTTTTAATGTGCAATTGTTTCGGTTTTTGAAGTACTCTGATTTCACTGTAATGTATAATTGTTGTTACAAATGATTTCAACTGGTTTTTACATCAAATCTGTCTGTTGTGATATCGTGGAAGGGGAGAATTCACCCGAGAGAAGTACTTCCTATGCCCACTGCCCTGCAGGAGAAGAATCACTAGGCATACATCATGGTGTATTTCAGTGACACTGAACAACATACAGTTTCAAACTGATCAATGTCTTGAAATGTCTTGCTCAAGGACACCCAGCAGAGCACATGGCTGTTGTTGGTGTCAAACCTGCTGTTGCATTTAAAATAAAAGAGTCGAACCGAAGTGCAGATTGGAGAGTTTTTACTCTGATTTGATTGTTTCTGGGAATTGAAAGTGTGGAGGATGGGTTTTCAGGCTGGACGGGCAAAGAATATTTATGTTAAATATTCTTTAACATGTTAAATAATTAACACTATAAAGAATAAATAGAAATAAAAGAAATAGCTAAGAAACTACAAGCCTTTTTGCATTATATACCAAATAAAAATAGGCACACATAGCCAATATTGAAAATTATATTGATACAGATTTGTCTGTGATAGGCCAATATCAGCCGATAAGATCAGCCAACCGCTATATGGGTCGGGCTCTACTTTGAATGGCTTTTATAAATACAGCGTACATCACTACCTGTGAACTCTGAGCTAAGGCACCATAAGAAGCAGACTGACTCATAGCGTCTGTAAAGACTTGTGTGAGGTACCAAAAAAAACCAGGGATCCTTTCTCGTTTCTTTGCCCTGACGATGTACAAACCGAGACCATATTACGCAGCTATGGTGTCATACACGGGAAATATTCAAATGTTGATTCATTGTGGGAGAAGCTATGTTCATAAAGGGAAAATGTTGAGAAACATCAGCATCTGGATGCAGGATTGGCCTTTTTCACAGCAGAAACTTGCTGACTTGTCACAGTAGGAAAAGCACAGGGGTTATTAATAATGTTAAAGATGGCTCTGTTCTGGAGCTAAGTGGAATTATCCAGCATTCATTATATGCTTTTCCTGCTTAAACAAAATATAGAAGGGATGGACTACATAATAACTCATGACCACCGAGTTATGGCTACTAAAATGTATAATGTTGCTGGAGTACAATTTAAACCAGTAGCTATTTTTTAAAAAAATTTTTGTCAATTTTGAAACTTCTACTATATCGACAGTGGTACATGAAAAAAAAAAAATTATATATTTTCCCCGCCCAAAAAAAAAACAACCAATCAGAGCTGAGAAAGACAGTTGATTGTTGAGTTTCATTCCCAGATTGGCAAATACAGACTGACATTGGGTCCCAAAGCTTCAAGCCATCAACCCAAAGCGTTAGTATTTGACGACCTGGCTCTGATTGTTTTTGTTCAGGCCCAGTGGATTCTTGCAAATGCCATTTGCTCTAGTCTCTAGATGCCTTTAACAATACATTTTCAGGTTTTTCACACGACCAAATGCCAAAACATATTGCCAAGTCTAGCCCCTCCTGTGCTTACAGTCAGAAAGACCAGTAGTGGACCAGAAAGGCAGTAAGCTCACTAATGTGGACCAACACACAGATGGACAGGAAAAAGAGAAGAGCATGAAGCTGCAGTTGTTGCAAACAACCAGTCCGGACCAAAGATCATAACAGCAGCTACCAACAGATTCACCAAACCTGAGTCAAATGCTAAAAGACCATCTGTGTTAGACAGACAACAGGGACAGAGTGGTTTCTGTACAGACTGCACTGACTCATTTACTGAAAATGATTATTGAGAAACCCACTCTGTAAGAGTGAGTGACAGACTGCAAATTAGGGCTGAAAAACATCAAATCAATTAATCAGTCATTAATAAGTAATCTACAGTCATCATCACACAGTCTCTGGCACCAGCCTCTCAAGTGAAATATGAAAAACTACATTTTCCAGAGCTCCAGGTGCCATCTTCAGTTCGTTTCATCTGCGCAACAGCCTAAAACCCAAAGATACGGTTTACTGTCACAGGACAAAGAAAAACCGAAAATATTCAAATCTGAGCGGTTGGAAAAAGTTATTTTAGCTTGGAGTGCTTGCTAGTGCATGAGATAACTTCTGTTATGAATTGGCGCTATACAAATAAAATTGAATTGAATTGAATTACTAGCAATGTACAGCTGAGACTGATGGGACCGTCATATAGTGGTCATAATGGGGTGACCAGGGGCTTCATCTATGCAGAATTTGACCCATGCTTTCACTCGCACATAGTTTTCTGACACGTGAAACAGAGATGCCAGATGGTGAGCTCATGAAATAAAACTCAGTCCTCAGCTGAAAATATACATATTAAATATGAAATGCACATAATTCCTACATTTCAGTATGTGCGTATCTTTACTTGTGCACAGATTTATTATTACTGCCACTACAAGTATAGGCTTAACAAAAATACTAAAACAAAACTGGGTCCTGGCTGACCAAACACCGTGGTCCGCACTCTCCCCCCTGTGCACAACTCCAGAAGAGAAAACTATAAATAAGGGACGAAATGAAAATGTCATGTCACGATTATCTTGGCCATGAAAATATATTTCATACTTTTAAAATAGCACCACAAAAGTCCCAGACCCCTCATCATCCTGTTCTCTATTTTGGAATCTATACTAATTCCTACTTTGTGGGGGATACAACAGGTAAGCCGAGCCTTCAGCCATGCTGACATGACTCGAGAGATGTGGGCTCCCCCCTTGTTCAAAAAAAAAAAAAAAAAGGTCTATCTCTGTAGGGATCCTTTCAATAATGTTGTCAGACACTATGTTCAACCAAAAGCTCCAACCTCATTCCTTAGAAATTATATATTTTCTAATCTTACAGCCTGCAAGAAAGCAATATGTGTATTTACCAAACTGTGAGAGTGTTCCATTTAGTGAGTTGAACTCTAAAGATGGAGACCGAATAATCGAAAACCCAAGTACAACTTCAGTATCAGAGATTTTTATTTAATATCCCTCTGTGGGAGCTGCAGCAGCAACAGCAGACACTGAGCAACACATGAAATAAATAACTAGATTGTCCTAGATTCATAAAATAAAACTATTCACCAGAGGAAAAATACAGTTTAAGTGGAGAGAAACACTGGATGATGATTGTGTAAATGTAATAACATGCTGGAACAGTGCACATGCATGTGTAACTTATATCAGAGGAAGGCTGAAGATAGGACTCGCTGAAATATGTAACTACAGTTAAGTAATAATTCATTTTAGAGGAGTTGTACAGAGGACAGGCCGACCTTTATTTAACATGGGTAGCATGAATGGGACACACCCATTCACACCAATATAACCACAGTCTGAGCTGCTGGCCACTGGAGCAGTCGGGGTTTAACGGTCTTGCTCAAGGGCACTTCAACCTGTGTTCACTGCAGTGGGGTCAGTGTCTGGGGTCCTCCTGGTCCAAACAGGAAGTAGCATGAAAACAGAAAGAGGAATAGGTAATGAGGAAAAATATCTGTCTGTCTCCCACTGTCACCCTGTCCACCCCACCTGCAGTAGTATGTTAGTGTAAAGGGTTAACCATAGGAGGGGCTACACACTTATTTATTCAACTTTACTATTGTTAAAGTGTGTAAACCTATCATGACGTCAACCATTGGTTTGTGCAGTACCGTTTGGCGTCGCCATAATGGTTCTTGCAGACAGCAGTGGTACTGCGAGTTTGGCTGCGCAATTTCTACTCATCCGTAGCAGGAAACAATGGCGATTCTCTGGTCACACACATTCTCACACTAAACAACAGTACACAGTTCACTAAAATATGTTTCTGAAATGATTTTAGGTGAGAAGTAGTCAACGCAGTAACAGAATCCAGATTCATATCTGCGTTGAGCTGGACGGACTCACTGAGAGTGACCTGTCAATCACAAGGTAGCCACACCCTAAAGCATACCCTACTTAAAGTCTATTTTACTCTAAATGGAACCATCATTTACTAAATGAACATCATGCTGTATGGAAGAAGACTGAAACTAGAGATTGAGACCATAAACTCATCAGGAAACTGTTTACTGAGCTCATGAATCAAGTGAGAAGTTGGATCATTTCTCCATAAGACTCAATACTATGGGCTTCTTTGTGCAGCTAATGGAGCTGTCTAAAAACATCTACAGCATTCAGTCCTGCTATTATTACATATCTTGACTTGACTGTTGGGTCTCTGTAAATAATTTTATTAGGAGTACGGTCTAGACCTGCTCTATTTGAAGACTGTCCTGAGATAACTTTTGTTACGATTTGGCGTTATACAAAAAAGAATGGGATTTCATACCTGTTTCCCACATAATATATTCAGTCTGAATTCATTAATGTTTCATTTTTTCCCCCTGAAAATTAAAACTGTCATCATTAAATAACATTGTCTTTATTGATTCAACCAATGGTAGTGTGTTATGTATATTTGTGGTGGTTCCATCCTGGTGTTTTTATGTCTCTCCAGCAGCAGTTACCAGTACGTTGATCCACTGAGAGTCGGAGTAGATGTACAGAGCTTTTCTGTCTGTCCGCAGCACCATCACATTGTCCCCCCGCAGCCTCCTCATCTGCTTCTCTCCGTCTGCAATAAAGATCTGGAGAGAGACACACCTGGCTGTTTTAATGAGTCTGTTTATCATTCATTCCTATTCTTAAACAATTGAACGTTAATGTCAGAAGTTTAACACTGAACAAAATGAAGGTGGTTCATTGGTCAGTGTGTGAGACACTGACCGTCTGCACTCTATCCAACTGGCGTTCTGGGGTTTGAACCTGTGAACAGTTGCATTTGGCAGAAGGACCCCGATTTCCTGTGTCTCCCTGCAGGCCAGGCAGGACGTACACTAAAAAACAAGGTCAACAGAGCTAATCTGTACAAAAGCATCAGTATGACAACACATTCATGTCGTATTTACGCTGCACGAAAAAAGAGAAATATCACTTCCTGTGTCCACCGTGTGGCGCTAGCAAACGGCCACTAATTACACGTTATGTTTCAGAATATGAAGTGTTCTTATGCTTTCTCGTCTCGCAGGTTCTTATCGATCCTGGTCCTGGTCCAATCCTGCTAGATTGCCATTGCCAATACTGTTGTTGCTGTGCACCTGTCTGTCTGTCTGTCTCTCGCTCTCTCTGTCTCTGTCTCTGTCTCTCTCTCTCTCTCACCCCAACTGGTCGAGGCAGACGACCACCCACCTAGAGCCGAAGGGTCTGTCCTAGGTTTCTGCCTCTTAACAGGCAGTTTTTCCTTGCCCTTGTCGCCAAGGTCTTGCTCATGGTGGTACTGTTGGGTCTCTGTAAATAATGTTATAAAGAGTTCAGTCTAGACCTGCTAACTTCTGTTATGAATTGGCGCTATACAAATAAAATTGAATTGAATTGAATTGAATAGAGCAAACCGGGAAAACTTAATGTAAATCCAACAATGACTGTGACAGAAGACTTACTTCTTGTTGCCAGTAGGGGGCACTAGGACTATGACTGAAAATTGGCTTGTGGATGAGTTCAGACCAGGACTCTTATCGGTGTGAAGTTTGGGGCAGATTGTACAATGTATAGTCAAGTTAGAAGAACTTCCTGTTTAATGGCAAAACTTTGTAATTTGATGCCACGTACCATCACTCAACAAAAACTCAAGCTTTTGTTCTGTTTTCATCGTCTTAAGATTGCACTGATCTGATAAATTCTGTAGGAAGAGTTAGTTCAAATTCAACCCCTGAAAAAACGGTACGGAAGTTGTACATGAAGTCCCAAATGTTCGACTGGGGCAGGTAGTGTGAACTAGGGATGGGACAATATATGTTATTAACATGTATCACAATAAAAAACACCCAAGTTTATCATGGTGAATTTGCATTATTGGGATATTAGTGAATATCTTGACATGAGTGACTTGAAAAAGCTGTCTAACTTGCTACCATAGAGTCCTTTATGGATTTCCTGATTTATTTAGAATTTTCAGAAGGCAAGCCTTTATTATTCCAAAATTGTAAATTGAGAGAATTTAGAGTAGTATTAAGTCATATTTGTTACTTCCCTCCATTGTGCTGGTTAATCTGTAAATAGTAATGGTGAATGGACCTGTACTTCTATAGCACCTTTCTAGTCCTCTGACCACTCAAAGCACTTTTACACTACGTGTCACATTCACCCTTTCACACACATTTACACAGTGATGGTAAAGCCCATCAAACAGAAACTAACACATTCACACACCGATGCACAGCATCAGGAGCAATTTGGGGTTCAGTGTCTTGTTCAAGGATACTTCGACATCGCTCTGCCTCTGAGCCCCTTCCTGCTGTCACGCACCTTGTCCAGGTAGTCCAGGTTCTCCATTCAGACCAGGCAGTCCTGCAGGACCAGGATGCCCCATCTTCCCCGTATGTCCACGCGATCCCTTCAACGCCTGCACACAATTATTTATTCATTTACTGATCAATTGTTTGCTGATTAGCAGGCAGACAAACTGAGATACCAACCGGCTGTGTCTCTACAGGCAAACGGTTGAATTTGAGCCAAGCAGATATTACTAGTACTGTATCTGTATTTGGATCTGCAAGTTCAGGATGTGGGGACTCCCAAACATTTGGAAGCAGATGCAATCAACTCATCAACATACAGTTAACCATAACTACACTTTCTCAATCTAAACAACAAACGTATATATAAAGAATATAGGCAGTTCATGTCAGCCTGCTGTACATATATATCTATGTGTATGCATCCACTGTCTATACCTACCATGGTTCCTCTGCCACCAGGCTTTCCTCTGGGTCCTTGCTCACCCCTCAGCCCTGGATCGCCCCACTGACCTGAGTCGCCCTGGAACAGCAAAGCAAAGAACACCATGCCTTCACAGCTTTACTTACATTCATGATGTATTCGACTGCGTTTTATTTTGAACCTGATGATTATGTCAGCCACTCTTCTACCTTCTCTCCTGACACTCCAGAGACGCCTTGATCGCCCTAAAGAGACACACAGATTGATTGTTACATTTATTCACATAACTGTCACATTTCCAGCAACAACATTGCGTTGACTAATAATTTCTGTTTGTTGTTCATCGTTTTTGTCAACATTTTTTTCACTGATGAAAACTAAACTATAACAAAATAAAAACTAATTTATGATGACAAAATCTACAATGACATTTTCATCAACAAATGAAAACAAGTTGAAAATGTTAGGGAGAGACAAGTTGGGAAGAACTCCAATCAGAACTCAGTGTGGTATCAGGTTAGCTAACTTGTGCTGGAGTGTGTTCACTATACCTGAAATACAAGCTAAAAAAACAGCACCATTGTCCTGTACTGATTAGAGAATTGAATGACCCAGAGTTGCTAACCTTAGATCATAAATGTCATTAATCCTAGACGTTTCCTCCAGGAGTATGTAATGAGTTTGAAAACGTTTAAAGGACCAGTGTGTTGGATTTAGTGGCATCTGGTGGTGATGTTAAGACTGCAACTAACTGAATACAGCACCCCTTTCCAAGTGTGTAAGAGAAACTGCCACAAAACTCACTAAAAAACAAAAAGGCCCTATATCTGGAGTCAGCGTTTGGTTTGTCCTTTCTGGGCTACTGTAGAAACATGGCGGTTCAACATGGCGGACTCCATAGAAGAGGACCCGCTCCTCTCCCTTACACATTACACTTTAACTAAACCAGACTAATCGACTAAATTTACAGTAGATTTAGTTAACTAATAACCTGTCTGTCTGTCTGTCTGTCTGTCTGTCTGTCTGTCTGTTTCTCTGTCTGTCTGTCTGTCTGTCTGTGTCTCTGTCTCTCTCTCTCTCTCTCTCTCTCTCTCCCTCTCTCTCTCTCTCTCCCTCTCCCTCTCCCTCTCTCTCTCTCACCCCAACTGGTTGAGACAGACGACCACCCACCTAGAGCAGTTTTTCCTTGCCCTTGTCGCCAAGGTCTTGCTCATGGTGGTACTGTTGGGTCTCTGTAAATAATGTTATAAGGAGTTCGGTCTAGGCCTGCTCTATTTGAAAAGTGTCCTGAGATAACTTTTGTTATGAATTGGCGCTATACAAATAAAATTAAATTGAATTGAATTGAAATGAATAATAATCGACTTTGTCAACTAAAACTAAAATAATTCACACAACTCGAATATGATGAAAACTAAATCAAGATTTTCTGTCAAAATGAACACTGCAGCAAATGAAAGAAACTTATTCCTTACCTTCTCTCCTCTGGATCCTCTGTTTCCTTTCACACCTTTATCACCCTAATAGACAGATAGAAATACATAGAAGAAGAGAAATAAGTGACAATCATGAGGTTTAAAGTGTATAAAACAAAGAAAGACAACATACAGTATAACATTCACTTACCCTAAATCCCTTACGCCCCTTACTGCCCTGTGAACACACACACACACACACACACACACACACACACACACACACACACACACACACACACACGTAATTAGTTCTATCTTTTCACCGCTGCATACCAGGTAGCTAATCAGGTTATTATGTCAGACATCTCTTAGTTGCACTTAGAGGCAGTAAATATTACTGGTAAACTGTGTGATACTGGATGTTCTTCTGTACGATTTGAACTAGGTGATATGAATTTTTCATGTCAAAATGATATTGGCCAAAATAATTGTGATTCGTGATATATTGTCTTCAAATTTGCTTAAAACTAAAAAACATAAATAGCACTAAAACATCCTGGAACCACTTTAAAGCTGCAGTAGGTAACTTTTATAAAAATGACTTTTTATCATATTCACTGAAACTTTGACTATATCCTGACAGTAGAAAGTGAGAGACAATCTGTGAAAACATCAGCTTCCTCCGACTCCTCCTAGTGCTCTGATTGGCATTTGCAAGAATCCACCGGGCCTGAAGGAAAACAACCAATCAGAGCAGAGAAAGATCATTTTTGGTTGGTGGCTTGAGGAGAGTTGATTGTTGAGTCTCATTCCCAGTGTCCCAAAGCATTGGCATTTGCCAACCTGGGAATGAAACTCAACAACAATCGACATGTCTTACTCAGCTCTGATTGGTTGTTTTCACTCAGGAGTGGAGGAATATGTCAAATGTTATTCGGAGCACTAGGAGGAGCCAGAGGAACCTACTACTGTCAGGATATAGTGAATGTTTCAGAAAATATGTCAAAAAACTACCTTTTTTATTGCACCTTGCTGTTGTTCTTTAGTTTGGAATTCATAATACTTTTTTGTGGGGGATACAACTTCAGCCATGGTGACAAGCCTAGGATTTTGAGAAGAAAGATGTGGGCTCCTCCTTGTGGCAAAAATCAGGAAGTCAATATAGGACTGTACACTAGTGACCTGGGCAGCCTTTTCAAGTCACTTGTGAGGGTGTTCACAATTATTTTGATAATATAAACTCACCACAATAAACTCAGATCATGTTTTTTTAATCGCCATATGTAATATTATCGTATGTCGTCCTATCGCTAACTTGAACACAAGATTGACAAATGGCAAACAATGCATCAGATCACTGGTAAATATAACTGTCTATCATTTCTCTGTCATAGAGTGTGCAATTACCAGCCTACATGTGGAGATGATGCCCATCACCAGGCAGTAGTAGTAGTTGTTGGTGCTTTCATCATTTGCATTTTGCCTTTGTCTGCACGATATGAACCAGCTCATATTGTAACATAAATCCAAGCTACACTGTACCTTTATCATCCCAGGAGTTCCTATGTCTCCATACAGGCCCCTCCAGCCTCTGTCCCCCTTCTCCCCCTGTGGAGACATCAAATCACAGCATGTAAAGTCTTACGATAGAATTATACAGTTAGACATATTAATGAAAATATCTTTTTTTTTTTTTCCAACTGTAATAATCCAAAGAGAGCAGAGCTCCTCCTTATAGCTCTACATTTGTTGTTTGTAATGTGTTGTGTGTGTAACTGTCATTGAGCAGTGTGTGACAGATATCAGTGCTGTTCAGGGTTTGGCAGCTTTATGTGCTGTTCTGAACACACATTGATATCCTGATTATTTACATTGACAGAGTTCAAAATTCTTAAAGAATGTCCCAGACAGGGACAGTGATGATTATTGGGTGCCGTCAACGCTAAAGTTTCACAACACACAACACTAGGAGAAGGCATAGTCTTTCTGTGACCTTTTGACCCGGCTTTCCCATGGTTCCTTGTGTTCCAGGTTCTCCCTCTGGACCCGTCACACCCGGTTGGCCCTAAAATATACAAAATATTACTGGAGCTTTTGCTCATACGGCCATCTTTATCTGTCTAAAAAACTTTATTTTGCAGAGTTCCATGCTCACACAGTTGCACATGCATGAGTGTGTTACACTGTACCTCGGGTCCTCTGGGTCCTCTGCAGCCCTTTAAACATAAACACCATTAAAGTGTACTGTGAATGAGTATGGAGAAAGGTAGCCTTCATTTTCTGAATTTTACTACTTTAAAATACACATGCAGTTCATTAAAATACACAATTCTTGTTTTATAGTGCCACTGATAACCAAGGTCTGTCGTACCTTCTCCCCTTTCTTTCCTGTGATGTGTTCCGTTATATCGACCTGAGGAGTTAAAGGCAAATGAGCGGGATTTTGTTTTAAGTCATGCACGTGTTTAACCCATTGATACATTTGGATTTTTTAGAATTGGTTTGCATTTCTACTTTAAAGTCTTGATGTGCAGGATTTAAAAAGTTCACACATTGGCCCTTCATAGAGGTATCATTAAAAAAAACAAGAAATCACAGAGGGCGTCAACTCCAATGCTCTCTTGATACAGCACACTCATTTGTATAAATAGGGGTGTGTGTGTGTGTGTGTGTGTGTGTGTGTGTGTGTGTGTGTGTGTGTGTGTGTGTGTGTGTGTGTGTGTGTGTTCACCATCAGCTCTGCTTTCCGTTTGACTGGAGGAAACAAAGGAGGTGGAAGAGGAGGAGGGATGAAAACTTCACATTTCGGAGTTGACCACCTGCTGTTTCTGCTAGACGGAAATCCTACAGACAGACAGACAGACAGACAGACACTAACTGAAACAATATTGTGTACCTACAGAACAAACTAAAATAAAACAGAAATATACAGGAAATGTCTTTTTGTCAAATTTGTCAACACAACAGGCGCGAGGAAGCACTGCTGCGTGTTTATTGAGAGTGGGATGTCTTCATGACGGTGATTCAGTGTTTTTACTGTAACACCTACTCTTCATAGGTATTACTTAAATCTTGACCCTGACAAATACCCCCCACATTATTATTTAATAAAACCAAAGCTAACACTGAAAGTGAAACCAGCAAACCCACTCTGATTTACTCATGCAAATGCCCCAAAACACATCCAGACCACACTGTCATCGTTCTCCTCAGCTGCTGCAGCAAACTACAGACTGTAACCCTTTATCACCATAATGTCACCATGTAACTGCTTGTCAAAAGCAGATGTTGCTGTGCTAAGCAATGCTCTGAGGACAGGTGTGCAGCTGTTAAGGAGCTCCTGTAGTGCTATGGGTATCTGATGGGTTCAAGTTAAACCATCAGCAAGATCTCTTAGCCCTCCCCCCCATCATCCACCATTACTCCTTCACTGTCAGGGAAAATGTGTACACCATCTGTCAAGTTTTGCAAGTATGCTATATAAATAAATGTATGATTATATTTATTATTATTATACTTATTATAATAATTCTTATTCTTATTCTAAAGTGGCAACTGAGCAACAACTTCACAGCTGATTACAGCTGCACCCGGCTTGGATGGGCAGGTATAATTAAATGACCTCTGACTGTTTGTACTCACTGGTTGTGACAGTGGGAGCAGCCGGCTGGAGGCCGCTGAGCAAGGCAGTCCATCCTAAAACCAGCTGAGTCAGCATCTCCTCTTTTCCTGCAACAACAGTTTAATGTTGAAAATCAATCAAAAAAGTGCATACATCAACATAATATAACACATGAACATTACATGTCGGGGGTCCCTACTACAACAGATTGAAACTCCAGCAACACTGCCAAAACAGGAGTTCCCAAAACTTTTTCCCTTGGAGGGCCAAAACGGAAACTCAATGGTGGGCTACGGGCCAAAAGCGAACACATACTGTGTTGTATTGTTAAGATGCAAAATGGTAGCAGGATCCCAAGTTCCCTTAATTGACTGACTTCCTGCTCAAAGTGTCACCCTGTGCTCAGAATATTAAAATATATTCATGAATAGGGATCTTAGATAATTATAGAGCATTTCACCTCACAAAAACAGCATATACAGCATAACGGGGATTTCTATGATAATTTCTAAGCTTATTAATGTATTTTTTCACTGGATACATCTGTCACATGAAAACGCATGGTGGGCCACCTTTGGCCCACAGCCCCAATCTAGAACAACTCTGACAATCATGTCGGCTCGTGGCCTTCACCAGGGTCATCATGATACACATTACAAACATCATTTAAAATAGGGTAGGTATTAAACAGGAAAAAACAGGTAAAGGAACATAAAAGACAACCAGTCATGTAATTCCACACACAGATCTTCACTTCATCTCAGTGAATCAGACTGATCAGTTTCTTGATTTATAACCACAGACAGTAACGGACAGCAGCAGGAGGATGCATTACAGGTGGGATTCATTATTGTTTGTGTACAGTTGTGCATGTGCAGGCTTGATAAATACCGACTTTTTCTAAAAACGGGGAGTTCATTCAGACAGATTTAGAACTTGTTCCAGTCATGCTTTGATAAATGAAAGCTTCATCTGTGCCTGTTGCGTCTGTCAGTGCAGTGAGAACATGCCTGCTCTGCAAAACACAGATTATAAATCTCCTGTTCAATCTTTAAATGTAATTCCACTTGTTTTGTATATGTCAGAAATTCTAGTTTTTATTCCTGACATAAGGCAGAAAGAGACCGACCACTGCACTGTCAACAAGGTAAATCTGTTTTTTTAAAGTCCTCATGCACAGTGATTTGCATTGAATTTACAATAAGTATTGACAGCCAAAACGATAAATGACATAATCAGCCTCCAGAGCAGAATACTTCAAGAAATGGATTACAATCACCTTTTCTGAATGATCTATAAATTATCTGAATGTTTGGAAAAACACACTCAAAAAGATCTGAAATATTGATCCTGACATATAATAAACAGAAGTGTTTAATTGTCCTGCTAAATCTGGCACAGATGCTTCAGATAAGAGTGTTCACATGCACTGTAATCTGTGTCTTACCTCAGTGCCGTCTCTTCGCAGCGCCGTGTTGGAGCTCTCGTCCTGCAGTGGGAGACGTCTCCTCCTGGTCTCCGTCCAGCAGAGCTCAATCTGCTAAGCTTGCACGCTGAGTCCGACTTATCTCAATAAACTGTGGAAATGCAACGCAGCCTCTGGCAGCGCTCTGCAGGAATAATCAGATAATTACTTACACACCGAGCCAAAGAGAAGCCGGCTCATCAGGCCCTGCTGCAGGGGATGGAGCAGTGAAAGCAGTCGGTGGCACCTTCTGTCATATTGTATTATATTATCATTACTGTATTTCCACTTAGTTTTAGGCTTTTGGCCCAGTTCCTCACAGCACTCACAACTTCATCTTATGCTTTAAACTGATTCCTTCACAGGGAGCTAGAAAAAGCCATGACGACAAGGGTCAAAGGTCAGTGCTACATCTATGTCTCTCAGCGCTTTATGTATTAAATGAGGAGAACTGTTGGAAGAAATACAGCTCAGCTAATGAAATCTATGACCAAACCCACTCTACTTCCCATATCTCATACAAATGGAAAGAGTTGAGCACCTTGCTTTTGCTTACCTTCAGTAGTTTTACATCAGTGCAGCAAGTTCAGAGCTTAAAGTGTACTTCAGTACACTGTGACATCACTTCTGGGGCATGGTCAGAGGTGCAACCGGCTGCAAACTCAAACCAGAGCGACGCAGTGTCTGCTTGGACGAGATTTCCACTTCCAACTGAATTTACCACAGAGGACGATGCTTAGGTCATCTTGAAATCTCCGTAGCAGACAGCATTGGGATTCGGGTACCACGGGAACCAGAGCATGAGACCAAGTCAACCAATTCATTTTAAGTGAGTGCGTTTTTACAAAACAGCAGCAAAGTATGGTATTTGTAAGTTACCAACATCCTACCCTGATAACACCACAGAAAACCAGAATTCTTGTATTAGATCTTCCAAAATGACTTTCATAGTGGGGATTTTCCTCCTGTAGTTCCACTGCAGCTCAAGATGGAACCAGTGCAGGAAAGACTTTAGACCAACTTTGAAAGATCCCCACTGGACTGGACTCCCTCACACTGCCGAAGCATCGCACGCTTCACATAAAACTTTTGATTACATTGTTGTACAGAAGGTGGATTTTGTCCACCATCACTTACATAAAAATCACTTCAGGAAGGGATCTCATTCCTGTTCATACTGATCTAAAGCTCCATAAGAACAGGAATGATTCCAGCAGAGACAACCTGTTCAAATGTAGTGTACTGAAGGTTTCAACAGGTACAATTTTACACTAATGAAGCAATTTGACTTACTTTACATCAATACTGGCAAAAAATAAATAAATGTATGAAGGAAAATTAGTATTGGTTGGTAGTATTAGTTTGGTTTTGTAGTTACAGCATGATCGATACAGATCTGTCCAAATACACATTTAAAGTCTCAAAAATGCAACTTTGTACAAATAATGTTCACTTCATTAATTAAAATCAATTTTGACATTGCATTTAAAAGGCCTGAAAATCTGATTTTAGGATTTTAGACTTTTTAGGACCCCATAGACACCTTGTATTGTTTTAAGACACTTCCTTTAGTGGCCCTTACCAAAACTGGGTGTATGTGGAAAAATCTTGCATCACATTGAAGCAAATAAAAAGCTTAAAAATGTAATTGCATGTACAAAATAATTGTTTTGGTCTTTTATTGAAGTACTTAAAACCACAAATAAAGACTGAAGTGCAGACCGTCTACTATAATCTACAATATGCTTCATGACCTTAAAAATGCAATAAGACATTAAGAGAAATGACAGAAAGGGTTTAAAATGCTACAAAATATACAAAAAGGACTGAGGAGTTGTAAACAGCCCAAAGACAGGCACATGGAGGAAAGTAGTGAGAGAAAACGTATGTACAAAACTGGAAGGCATGTGGAAAATGTCATTTGTCTTTTACATACATTTGTAGTCTTACATCAGTCCTTTATTACAAAGTCTACAGAGGACAGCAGGAAAAAAAAAAACCATCCACGTCCAGACTACAACTATAAAAAAAAAATAAAAATAAATCACTTTCTTCTTTTGACACAGCTTAAAAAGAGTTACTGTGCTTCCCTTTGAGTGTTTCATAAAAGCGTATAAACTACCCGACAGCTAAAGCTAGGAATGAAAACAAAAAGTGCATTTATTAAAAACACTAAGCGTAAAAAAAAAAAAACACACAAGGTGAGTCAAGGCATTCGGAGTTAAAACCATAAAATCTTCCTTTGTTAAATCTGTTGATTTAACACGTCTACACAAAGCCTGGGTGGATAAAAGTTTTATGCTCTGTTGCAGATTCAGTTCCAACAGATCCATCTTTTTATGTGCCTTTTACAGCTGTGGTGCAGAGGTCTCTTCAGGGTTTGCCATCCATCTGGCAGAGGCGGGACTGCAGCTCGACGACCACGCGCCTCATCATGCCTCCTAACTGATCGTGCATCTGAACGAGCTGCTGTGGCGAGCAGTAGCTGAGTTCCGATGGAGTCATCCTGCGGGTCAGGACAGCCACCTCTGACAGCAGCCCTTCGGGGTGCAGCTGTCCTGCAGGTCCCTGCTCTGCGGCCGGCGTGTCGGCCGTCTGATCCCCAGAACCGTCTTGCTCCAGAATCCCATCCGTGGGAGTGGGCTCGTCCACCAGCTCTGTCGCTGCAAACAAAAAGGCATTCGGGTTAGCGTGGCACTGATGTGGCAACAGATTGAAAGAAAGTAAATAAGCTTACGTCCCACAATGTCAAAATTCCTTTAAAAACACAAGCTGAGCGAGCCTTTACACACCTAGTGTCTCGCCTGAGGTCTTATCCTCCTCATCCAGGTTTTGAGGAGCACTGGTCTCCTCCAGTTCAGAGGTCATCATCTCGGTTTCATCGAAACTCTTCAACTCATCCCCACCTCTTCCTTTACGCTACAAGAGAATTGTTCACATGTCAAATAACATACCTTCTACAAACATATTTATCATTTGTGTTTGTGCTGTGCAACCTCTGTTCTGTTGGCGTACCTGTTGTTCATAGATTTTAAGTGCCTTTTTGACGTTGGAGACCTTCGGGGAGCGAATTGGCAGAGTCTTGATCTCGGTGGGAGTCAGAGCGCTGAGGTCGCCAACTGTTTTAATGTTTCTGGCTCGAACAAGCTGCCCAAAGCCTCGAGACCTGGGAGGAGAATCAACAGCGGTAACAAATAGATGCAGCTGATGAGACAAGAATGTTGTTTTCATTCAGGCGTTGCATAGATCCCTATTTGAGCAAATATTTTCAGTAACACTGTGCTGTACTCACCACATGTTGGAGGATATCTGAGGCAGCACGGCTTCTACAGGTGTGGAGCAGCCAACCAGGGGAGGGTAGATACAGTCTCTGGAGACAGGTCGCGGCTCTTGGCTCATTTCAGAAATCTGGAAACAGGGTTGCTTTTACCATTAGGACCAATAGCCTCTAGCACAACTTGCTGTTTCACTTTGGGTCACAGTTAATATTTTTATATTAAAACTGAATCATATGAAAATGTGTATGGTGGATGTTACTTGCAGTGATGGACCCATGGAGAATTATCAATACTGCAGTTCTATGACGCTCTTTAGCCAACTAAGCACCATTTTAACTTAGAGGGAAGTGTGCTGGCTTTACATATCAAAGTCTGTTTTACAGGCCTTGGGTTAAAAAGTAGTAGAAAGCCTTTTGTACAGATGTCAATGCACCCAAGATGCATTGCGAACGCAGAGATAGCTCAGACCACATATGGATCGTGTCCTTTTTAGTACACACACAAAAAAAAAAGATTTCCATTTGGTTCACTGTTATGCAAATGACGCATTTGGGCTCTTTCCTGCCAAGATGAGCAGCAGATGTTTGTGAACACCGTTTCAACTGATTTCAACATTCAACTAGTAACCACAATATCTCCAGAGTCCCTTTAAAAATTGCACAATTTTGAGTTGTTGAGTGAGGAGAAGCTTTACAAACTTGGTCAAATGTTGTCTCCAACAAATTCTTCATTGTTTGGGCTTTCTTGTAAATTTGGCAAATGTTATATGCACACTTTGTACACAAACTTTGTATTAAACAGCTAAAAGAAGGGGCGCCATGATAGCTCACCTGGTAGAGCTGGCACCCCATGTAACAAGGCTGAGTCCTCGCTGCAGCAGACCATGAACGTCTATACAAAATGTTATGGCCATCCAATATTTGTTAAATATTCTACCAAAGTGGTGGACAGACATTGCCTTCCCTGGAGCCACGCTGCTAGCATGACTAGAAACCCAATTACACCACCTGCCCTGCACATTAGTGATTAGCAGCTAAAGCGCCACATATTTCCTAGAGAAGCCAACGGAAGCCAAACCAGAGGAGAGCAAATACTTGACTTGTGGACGACTGCAAATGAATATCAATGTTGCTTAGCGTCTGCTGGTGTGTACAAAAGCCATTCAGTGTGTTTTTCATGTTAGCCAAGGCTGTGTCAGATTGATTTCTTTTGCTGCTCCCCCAAAGAAAACTAAAATTTCTACTTTCTGTGCTTACCAGACATTTCTTGGAGCTCTTGTAACCTGGACTGTGCAGATTTCTGGGACTCAGGATCAGCAAGCCCTTCGTTGGAGTAGTAACATACTAGAATCAGTAGCAGAGGAGCATCATGTTAAATCGAAGCAGATTATTTGAAGAAAAACGGTGGTTCATGTCGATCAGAAATATGGCAACGGCTGCCCTCATTCATACCTTTGGCTGTGGGATACTGCTAATTTTGGATCTTCTGGGGGAGCTGGTTCTGATGGCAGGGCTCCGTCGATCAATGTCGTCTGCGGTTTCCTGCTGTTGGATTGGATTGGCAAAAGATACACGCCTGAACTGCAAGTTAAAAAGGACAAAAAGTTAATTTCATCCACGTCAAACAAAAAGTTGTGGGTTTTGACAAATTCAATTTTTTGTCACTTACTTTGACAAGAGGTGAGGGAGTCTCATCCTCTAGTGGTCTCTTCTGGCCCTTCTTAAGAATACTGGTTGATGGAGAGGCTGAAGGAGACCAGGTTCCTCTGGTCCTGCCACTACTGGGACTTTGGCC